ATTGTTTATAACACTGAGCTACTGTACTATACTATACTATACTACTAATTTCTCTACAAGTATGAATCTTATTTGTATTTATATTAATTTATCTCTAACCGAAAGATATCTATTTATCTCAATTGTTTCTCCCCTTCGTGATTGCAATACTCCTCTCACAAAGTATATACATTTCTCGAAGTTCTAGTATTTTTTATTTTTTTGTAATTTTCAGATGCACCATTTACTCAATCACAACTACTAAGTCACCGGCGTCAACCATATCCCCATTCTTGTGGAAGATCTTGACAACTTTACCAGCCTTTGGTGCAACGACAACCATTTCTGTCTTCATTGCTTCAACCACCACCAAACCTTGGGATTCCTTAACTTCATCCCCAACGCTTACCAACGGCTTCCAGAATCTACCAGAATACTCAGAATAAACCATTTCAGCATCTTCTCCAAAATTATCATCTTCAGATAATTTAGGCCCATCACTCTTGGCTAATTCTGCATTAGAAACTTGAATCAATCTGTTGAATTCCTCCATCTTGTCCCCTCCTTGGTTCTTTTGGAACTCTTCAATGGACTTTGAATTTTCTTGAACCCACTCCAAGTATTGAGTGTGATCAAATACACTTTCAACAATATCAACCTTAAATTGACCTGCATTCATTTCGTCTGAGAACTTGTCTACCTCAGCTTCAGAAACAGGGTAAAATTCAACTTGATCGAATGGAGATAACAACCAAGGTTGTAAGTCTGAATGAGTACCGAGAGATAACTTATCCCAGATTGGAACTGTACGACCAACCAATTGGTAACCACCTGGTGATTCCATAGTATAGATACACATATAGTTACCACCGATACCAACTGTACCGTTTGGAGTGAAAGTACGAGATGGGTTATACTTTGTACCTAATAATCTATGTCTTGGATCTAAAGGAACAGCACATGGTGCTCCTAAAAAGACATCTCCTAAACCTAAAACTAAGAATCTGGCAGAGTACATCATCTTTTCGATTTCTGATCTATGAATTCCATTAATATCGGCAATGAAATCAACATTATTTGGTAACCAAGGTGCATCAGATCTAATAGTTTCTTGATACCTCTTCACTGCATCTAAGGTCTTCTTATCTTCAAATGCCATTGGTAACTTAATAATCTTGGATGGTACCTTCCACTTGTTAACGAAAACAATTTCCTTTTCGCATGCAATTAAGGTATCTAATAATTGCTTTTGAGTAATTTTGGAATCGTATTCAATCAAAACAGATCTAACACCTCTTGACATTTCAACGACACCAACAGTTTTATTGTGTTGGATCATTTCAATCAAACGATGAACTCTGTAGGATAAGTTTAAGTCCAAAATATTTTCACCATACTCAACTAAGATGTATCTATCACCAGCTTGACGGTAAACAACTTGAGGAGCCTTTTCAGATGCCTTAAAAGTATCTAAAACTGGGTTTTCTGGTTCGGTTAAAGTCTTAGTGATAGCTGGGACTGTTCCTTCTAATAATTCAATACACTTATCCTGGGATTCTTTCAATTCCTTAGCAGATTTATAAGTGATTGGCACAAATTGAATGGAATCGCCAGGTTTTACTTGACCAATCTTCCACATTTCAGCTTCTGCCACTACAGCTTGACAAACGAATCCACCCAACGATGGACCATCACAAGTTAAGATAACAGGCTCATCACCAGTAAAATTGATAGCCCCTAAGGAATAAACATAATCGTGAGCATTAGATGGATGTAACCCTGCTTCACCACCATCCTTTCTTGCCCATTTAGGCTTAGGTCCAATTAATCTAATACCAAATCTATTGGAATTGTAGTGGACCTTCCAAGTTTCAGAAAAGAATTCAGCTACAGATTCTTTTTGAAAGAAATCAGGAGATCCATGTGGACCACATGTAACACCAACTTTCCAAGAATTGGTAGCATTGAAGTCATAGCTTGGAATCAAGGAAGATGGTATCTTAGTAGGCTCAGAAACTGGTAATGGTAAAGTACAACTTGAAATTTCAGGCTGACCCAAGAACAAAACATCACCTAATTTCAAAACCCTACCGTTGTAACCACCCAAGTTACCCAAGGCGAAGGTAGATCTAGAACCTAAATATTCAGTTACGTCAATACCACCTCTGATGGACAAATATGCTCTACAGCCACTAGTTAACTTACCAACAGTTAACTTGTCACCCCCTTTGATACTAATTGGAGACCATTGATCAACCTTGGTTCCATTAACATCGACATCAACCTTTCCACCAGTTACAGCAATAACAGCGTCATGGTGAAATAAAATCTTTGGGCCTGTCAAAGTAATTTCAATACCAGGAGCTTTTTTATCGTTACCAACTATTCTGTTAGCAACTCTGAATGAGAACTCGTCCATGCATCCAGATGGAGGAACTCCGATATGCCAATAACCCTTTCTACCTGGGTAATCTTGTACTGTAGTGTAAGCACCTGGAGATAAGATTTCAAAAGCGGTTGGTTTATAATCAAAGGAGTCTAAAACCTTAGTGTGAACCTTAGCCTGAGCAAACATATCAGAGTTAGCAATAGAACGTAAGTAGTCTACGTTTGTAATACAACCATAAACAAGTGTTTCATCCAATGCTTGCCTTAATTTTCTCAATGCATCTGCACGATCTTCACCATGTACAATAATTTTTGCGACAGTAGGGTCGTATTCGGCAGAGATAACGGTACCCTTTTCTACCCATCCATCGATTCTAGCCCATTCTGGGAATTTGACTTCGGTTAATTGACCAGGAGAAGGCATGAAATCCTTAACTGGGTTTTCAGCGTATAATCTTGCTTCCATTGAAGCACCGGTTACTTTAATTTCCTGTGAGAAATCAGGTGGATCATCTGCAGCAATGTATAACATCCATTCAACCAAGTCTAAACCAGTTACCATTTCAGTAATTGGATGTTCAACTTGTAATCTAGCATTGACTTCTAAAAAGTAAAATTCATCTCTGCTAGGATCATAGATATACTCAACAGTACCGGCACACTTATAGTTCATCAGGGCACCCAATGATTCTGCAGCTTTTCTCATCTTTTGTCTGGTAGCTTCAGGTAAATCAGGAGCAGGTGTTTCTTCAATAACTTTCTGGTTTCTACGCTGTAAAGAACAGTCTCTCTCACCAAGAGCAATTGCCTTACCGTAACCGTCACCAAACATTTGAATTTCCACATGTCTAGAATTTTCAACAAATCTTTCCATGAAGACTCCGGAATCACCGAAATAAGATTTACCTTGATGTTGCACAGTTTGGAAAACTCTCTCGATATCATCTTCTGAGTCGACCTTTTGTAAACCAATACCACCACCACCTGCAGTGGACTTGACCATAACTGGATATTCCAATTTAGCGGCAATTTCTCTAGCTTCCTTTGCATCTTTGATTAAACCAGAACCTGGAACTAATGGAACTCCAGCTTTCTCGGCAATTTCTCTGGCAGAGTGCTTCAAACCCAACTTTCTAATGGCATCTCCAGATGGTCCAACAAAGACAATTCCTTCCTTACCACATCTATCTGAGAAATCAGCATTTTCTGAAAGGAACCCATAACCAGGAACAATGGCTTGTGCTTTGGATTCTTTAGCAGCCTTTATAATCTTGTCAATTGAAATATAAGTTTCTGCTGCTGAAACTCCATGTAAAGGAATGGCAATATCAGCCATCAAGACATGCTTAGCATATTTATCTGGATCAGAGTACACAGCGACTGATTTAATTCCCAATTTTTTCAAAGTTTTCATGATACGAACTGCGATTTCCCCTCTATTGGCAACTAAAACTGTTTCAAATGGCTTTTTCTTACCGTTAGCTAACTCTTCCTTCTTGACGTGTTCAATGTAGCTTCTCCAGCCTCCAAAATCGGTGATGTCTCTGGTACCATGCTTCTTGTAACCAAATTCTTCACAAATAAATGATTTAACCCATTCACCAGATTCAGTCTCAACTGAACCAATTCCCAATGGCTCAGGAACCATTGAAATGAAATTTCCAAATGTCTCTAATGGAACGTAGTAAGTTTCAATTTCAATAGATGATCCTATATCGGAATCAACTCTTCTTAAACCAGGTTTGGCAACTGGTCCAATCTTAGGTAAAGCATATAACTTATAGTTCTTTGAAGTTTTAGTCTTTTCAATAAAAGTAGCATTGACTTTTTCTAATTGCCAATGTAATGCCATACCAGTTAAGTGGGCACCAACAACTGCCAACTTGATTGAAGTTGCTGGGTTTGGCTTCGGAATGGTACTCAATAATTCGTCTCCAGTCGTAGCAACCGAACTTTCCAAACATCCCATGTATCTTGGCTTGGAAGCAGCATATTGTTTCATGTATCTATGAGCCAAATCTAATAAAGCATAGTCATTAAATTTCTTACTCAAAAGGGTTACTCCGAATGGTAAACCGTCAGGTCTAAATCCTGCTGGAATAGCCAATGCAGACATGTCTGCCAAGTTCACAAAATTGGTATAAGTACCTTGGTGAGAGTTAACCTTAATTGGTTCCTCTTGGACATCTTTGATACTTGGGTTTAATGGGGCAGTTGGTACAATAATAACGTCAATTCCTTCAAGTAACTTGTTTACTTTCTGTAAGATCCCCTGCCTCTTATATTCGTAATCAAAAGCTTCAGCGGCAGTGAATTTTTCACCGCTTTTAATGATTTGAGCAACCGTTGGATCTAAGGAATCCTTTGGAGGGTTAGTTGCCATGAATTCCTTGGTGGCAGTATAACGTTCGCTGACCCATGGACCTTCATAAAGACATTTTGCCAAGTCATATAATGGCTCTATATCGAGGCTGACCAATTCTGCACCAGTCTTTCCAAAGTTTTCTACTGCTTGTGAGTACAATTTTGGATTTTCCTCTTCTCCATACCATAATAAGTTTTCTGGAACCGCAATTTTTGGAGTTCTAGAGAATTTAACCAACGGATTGGAAGGCATTGGTCTAGAATATTCATCGTTGGACCCATCTGGTTGAGCCATAATATTGAAGGTTATTTGAGCATCTTGCAAATTCAAAGAAAAGATTGAAACACAGTCTAACGATTTACATGCTGGGACGACACCACTGCATGAAAATACACCCTTTGTAGGCTTTAAGCCAATTAAGTTGTTTAAGGCAGCTGGAACTCTACCAGAACCAGCGGTATCGGTTCCGAGCGAAATTGGAACGATACCTCTAGCTACAACAGAGGCAGAACCGGCAGATGAGCCACCACTAACGTATTCCTTGTTGAACGTATTTGGTGTAATACCATATGGAGATCTTGTACCTACTAAACCTGTAGCAAATTGATCTAAATTGGTTTTACCAATTATAATGGCACCAGCATCTCTTAATAATCTCACCGTGGTAGCATCATCCTTTGGTGTGAATTTGTATGCTGGGCAAGCGGCGGTTGTATCGAATCCCTTTGCATCGATGTTGTCCTTCACGGCAATTGGGACACCGTATAACGGTAAGTTCTTCTTATTTGCTTTAGATTGCAAGAATTTCCATTGATGTTCCAAGTTGTCTTCACTAGCCAAAGAGATCCATGCAGGATCTTCATTTGACTGGGCCTGTAAAAGTGATAAGAGCTTAGCGTAGGAATCATTTGGAGTGGCCTGGAAATGGAATTGAATCCACTCACGAATAGTCCAACCGATCATTCTCTACAGATTGTGTATTTGTGAAGTACAGAAGAGGACGATAAAAGTAGATTTCAAAAAAAATTTAGTTGAAAACTTCCAAATCTGGTCCACCTTTTTCGTTAATTTTTATTTCCTTTTCTTTCTTTATCGGCGAAGAGTTACTTCAGCAGATACGGCGGAAAAACGAAAGGAATGTGTGACTTGTGCGAGGGACCTTGGTGTAAAAGATCCGAGTTTATCAAATCTGGTTTTGGTGTGTATCGTTCTTTTCAAGTGATGCTTGTCCTGAAAATCTGTGTTTGAGATTTGTTTGGGACAAAGTTCGACTCGTTGAAGTTACTTTCTTGAAAGTTGTTTACTATTAATTTCTGTTATTTGCTTAAAGTCAGTTATTGTGAGAGAGATGACTTTAGGTTGCGAAATGTCTAGTACTATCGGTGCTTATGAAATTGATCCGATAACGTTATAAAAGCAAATTATTCAAGACAGGATCGAATTGAAAAAAAATCTATATTAATTATTGAAACTATGCTCTATACGACGATCTGCTCTTGAGCTTTTCTTAATCAAAGGAAATAACGCCCATTATATATCTACATCCAACCTTCTCTCCACCTTTGATCTTTTCACATATACCTATGGAAGATCCCGAACATCTATGTGATTTTGTGTAACCCTTTTCTCTATCGGTTGCCGCTTCGGGCCTCGGGGTGAAATGCAGGAAACCTGGAAATCTATGTGCCAGGGCCATTTCCTATTCATATCCCGCTTCAGCATGTACATACAAACAGAGGTGATTAAAAGGACGTGGAGTTAGGAACTTGCTGGTATAAATTCAGTTAGTGAGGGTTTGATAGAATATAGAGCTTAGCGAATAGAAGAAGTGGTCTTTTTGTAAGTAAAGTATGTAATAGCGTGAATTTTTGCTGCACTGGGCAGCAGCATTATGAAATTTTTTGCACCCAAATATTTCTGCTAAGGTTAATTTCACAGTATCCCTTACCATGATATTTTTTTTTACTATTCATTTCACAAAACATCGGAAATCAACTCTCATCTGTACCTTGTGCTCGTCACCATACTATAGTGCCTTATCCACCAGTAATTTTTGCCTTTTGCTTTTTAATTTTCCGCTCTTCAATTTGCCTACCCAATTCCCAGGCGGCACCAGTTTATCTAACAAATAGATATCTCACCTGAAAGTCAAAATGTAGGCGTCCGGTTTATGCAGGTGTTGTCTTTTGAAAGTTCATCTATCATGGAGTTTATCGCACATTTTATTGGATAACGATAAAGTCTCCTCTGTTATCGGGAAAATAAAATGCTTAACCTGTTGTATCGGGAGAGCGATCAAGAAATTAATCGGTACTGCATATAATTGATCGTGTTGATAACCCAAAGCCTATTGTTAAATTTTTCACTATCGCAAAAATTTTAGGTGGGGTAGATAAGATTGTAAGTAACAGGAGCTATTCAGTGTTTAAAACACCAAGAATGTAAGATATTTTTTATCCTCAGAAAAGCTTAAGCACAATAAACATTTTATTTTTTACAGTGGAGCTGATTTGTTCTTGCTGGAGCTGTTTCCGTACATTTGCATACCTCTAAGCCAGTTTTCTCTCACTCATCACTCTTCACTCATTACCTTTCGGCTACAGCTCAATGCGTCCTGCTGCACGCAGTAGTATGAAGAAAAAAAAAAGAATTATTAATTTTGCACCCATTAAAAGTAGTACAATGCGACCGGTATATTCTCAGTTCACATACTCATGTGTAATATTCCATCGAATGGTTCTACTGTAATTCCCGTGTCGTTCACTCTGGTTCCTCTCTTTTATTTTAATGTTAATCTACATCAGTATAATTCACTCAAACAAAGCATCTTATTCATAGATATAATAAGAAAAATAAAAATATATAAATATAAAGATCACGTCTTGTGTCAAACAAGATAAATTAAATCAATCGCAAGAAAGCCCGGCACCTGCTTATTCATTCTTAATTTCGTCCAATTGTTCATCGATACGTGGAGTAGTATATCCTTCTGGATGGACTCCGTCGATTGGTTGTGACAATTGAGCTGATAACTGAGATCTAACAGCGTGTAATTGCTCAGGATGAGCATTTTGCCATTCTCTCAACTTCCAAGTTTGACCAGTACAGTCCCAGTAGATACCTCTAAGAGCATGGCCAATTCCTTCACGAGATTCATATAATGGATAAATGATAACCATGAAAGCAGTGAAGAACATCCAGATGATCAAGACAACAATCCAACCGGTGAAAAACTTCTTGGAGAAGATATACTTGGAACCATACATAGGCATTGGCCAGAGAATAACCAAACAGAGAGTCAAGGCAACACAGATAATAGAGGCGATTTTAAATGACTTATTTAATAAGGCAGCCTCTTCTTCAGCAGCATTTGGATTCAACAAAGCTAATTCTTTAGCAGCGATAGTTACTTGAGACTTAACTGGGTGGATCTTCTCTGGGTCTTCCTTTGAGGAAACAACGTGTTCAGCAGCCAAGATTTCTTCTTCTTCATCAACTCTGGTGACAGTCTTCAAGATTTCCCAATCAAAATTTTGAGGCTTGAAAATCAATGTCAACAATGGAATGAAGATAATTGGAGAACATAAAGCAATAACATTTCCAATTAACATGGAGTTGTCTTCAAAGGTAGTATCAACGTTAACTTCACCGAATAAAGTCTTGGTAGAAACTAACCAACCGAGAATAGCGAAGGCAGTAGCTAAAATTGGAGTATAAGTGGCAGCAACCGTGTTTTGCTTTGTGGACAATAAGGTTAAAGCAGCTGGCAAAACACCACCACCAATAATGATTCCCATAAATTCATACAACCAACCCATGGAGATACCAGCGTAGTATAATCCAATAGCAAAACCTGCTAAGACGTAAGCAAAAACAATAACAGTGCAATGAGATGTAAAGATTAAAGTCTTTCCACTAGCATTAGGGTTAACATAGGTTCTGTAGACATCATAAGTGAAAATAGTGGAGACGGCAATTAATTCAGCAGACATGGCTGAGGTGACAGCCATAAAGACTAATAATAAGGAGCATACGGCACCACCCTTACCTAAAAGGGCAACAGCGGCATTTGGTAAAACCAAACCAGCTGAAACTTGAGCAGAAGTCAATTTGTTTGGGTAAGTTGGCCAAGCTGGAGTGTCTTCCAAAGAAAGAGCAGCTAGACCCATGGTAGTGGCACATAAAACTGGGATAGCAAACCAAGCTAAACCACCAAGAACATAACCTGGCAAAGCAGCTCTTGGAGAAGAGGAAAAGGCCTTGTTGAAGTAACCGTTATCTAAGAAAACGGTACCGAAGTTACCAACAATGTTAATTACGAAGAAGATACCACCAGATCTGGAGTGCATGGTCAAGTAAGAACCTTCAGCATTTCCTTCTCTTGGAGATTCTAAGGCGTAAGCGGTAACCTTTTCCCAAACGGCACCAGGAGATCCCAAGTTAGGATCAGTAGCGAAAGTGGTGAAGGAAAAGACCAAGATAATGACAATAATGACCACAGTGTGGACATAATCGGTCAAGAAGGTGGCCTTGATACCCCCGAACAAGGTATAAATAACAACACCCAATGGCAAAAGTAAGATGGCAGCAACAACGTGCATTCCTGTCAAGTCATTCACCACAGCAGAACCACCAGTTAACAACATGGCAGTGACCAAGATGTTAGTAGCAATTCCGAAAAACATGTAGACGAAATGGGTGGTTCTACCGTATCTAGCCTTAATAATTTCCAAGTAAGTGTGAGCAGATGGACACAATTCCTTGGCCTTGATGGCTAAACAGGCGAACAAGACAATCTGACAAGTTGCACCAGCAGCATAGTAAAAGGCACCACAAACACCATTGTTATACGTTTGCACAGTAGAAGTCAACAAAGTAGCAGCCCAAGTCCAAGAGGAACAAACAGCAGCAGCGATAAGACCTGTCTTAACAGATCTACCGGCGGTAGCAAATTCTTCAGCAGTGATGATTTCCTTGTTATAACGACGAAGAACGTATGTAGTTAAAATCATACCCACGGCAAAGACAAATCCAAGCCCAACGACAACAGCATAACCAGCTCCTTGAGGGAGAGGGACGTAATCAACCATATTATGTAAATATTACCTGAAAAGAAAATTGGTGTTTATCAAATATGATGATGATAGAATTGAATCCAATCCATCTCGACTCATTGAATCAGGATTCCATCTATATTTATACATTTTTCATCCCGAGATGACTCTCTGTTCCGTTTCTTTCTTTTTCCTGTTTTTCATGCATGCATTCCTGTTGCCTGCGTACGGCTATTACTGATAACGAGATAAAAAGTTAATGGGAGGGAGACACTATGCAGGATATTCTGGCGGTCCGTTAGAAGGGCCGCGAATGCAGAGAACAAGAGGAATACGCGGCCAAATTTCTTGTGCAAGGAAGTGATAATGCAACAGCACGAAAAAGGATCAGAAAATAAAAACGATTGCAAATGGTAAGACCGTTGACCATCGGCGCGCTGATCTAGCGTGGTGCTGGACTGGCATCTTTATCAGTTGACGCGAGATTGTGGTATGATCTAGTGTTCCATTGCATTTTGGTCGTTATGCAACAGTATTACATCTCAGACTGCCATATGATGAAGAGTTTTCTTTGCATGTGTGTCGAGGGGACTGTCCCAGTTTTTTGTTTTTTTGGTCTTTTTTTTTTTTTTTACTGAGGCACTTTCTTAGATCTGGGGATATCATTGGCAGATGGGGATCGATACCTGTGGTTAGGTCTTAGGTCCTGTATACAGTGAACCAATCTTCTTTGACATATGTTTGATTAGGCTGGGCTAGAGGAACAACCGGCGGGAGGTTTGTATGCAGCACATCTACAGCATAGATTTCTCTGAGAGATTCGAGTGGACAAGAGAGGAAAAGAAAAGGGATAGATAGCGATTGGAGGTAAGCTTTCAATTGATCTTCTTGACAATACTAGAAACCTTAATCGTCGTAACTTTAGTTACTAAAAGACAGAGGACTCTTTTTTTCTTGTTTTTTTTTTTTTTTTTTTTTTTTTTTTTAATTTGGTTTTTTTCCCTTTTTTGGCTTAATCTTCACCTTTCTCTAGTCTCAGCAGTGCTCTATTATTCTTTGCTTCTGCTGGTTGGTCCTGATATGCAAGCTTTTTCAAGATAACCTCTTATTCCCGGTTATCTCTGCTGGGTTGGGTTCTCTACTCCCATGTTCAAAAATAATGTTCTATTGACTATGTATGTTGCAATTTATTCTTATATCTCTGTTCTCGTAAGCCCTGATACTTCATGTAAGCGAGCGCCAGACTTTTCCAGTTAGAAAGGTTTGCGTGTAAATCCGATCTATGACAGCGTTATCTTTCACGTTATGTGCAGTTCTATATAATTACCAAGTGGTAGCCCGTATACATACATAACGGAATAGTGAAATGTGTCAACGGCGGGGTTTTTGCCCGGACCGCATGCATGCTCTTGTGGATCGCCTGTCGGGCCTATCTATTGAAATTTTCTTTTTAAACCACACACGATTGTTTCAAAAGCTTCTATCTCAAAAAGCTTCACAGGCATGGCTCGATTATCTATTCGGCTACGGCTTTTCACAGATGTCAGAATTCATTGAGAAAATAATAAGTTCCAGTGATATTTTGGTCAATTACCAATGTTCCATTACTCACACATGTTTCAATTTCTTCCTCTGCAATGGAATAAGACCAGCTAAATGACTCTGCAATTTCGGAAACGGATTTACCTTTGAAATACTCAATGTCACTTCCTTCTACGAATTCGTCAATACCCTCGATCTTAAAGTTTTCAAATGATCGTCTTTGGTCTTCGAATTTCTGTTTCTCTTTCTCGATGTACTCTTTAATCAATTTGGAATAGTCATTAGTTAAATTCGGAGTAATTACCACTAATCCAGATTTATCGTATTTCTTCTTTTTGAAGGGTAATTTAAGTTCGTTGAACAACTCGATTGCCTTGCTTAAATCAACATCCAGTATTAATTCTGTTCCAAAACCTTGTGTTGACGATAGATATCTATTGTAATGCGCGAATAAATCCTGTAATGTAATCATGGACGATGTTTTTGTCAACGTTATGGTATGCAAGTATTCTGAGATGTTCCGCGAGAGCTCTCTATGGAACAATTTTGAAGTTTTGGTGATATTCAATGGAGGGATAAGTTGCTCAGTGACTGGTATAGGCTTGACTATGTTGGAGAATGAAGCAGAAAGTTTTATGAGATCCTTGGCCTTGTACATGAGCTGCTCTAAGTCTTCCAAAGATGATGTCAAAACAAGCTCGTTCAACTTTCTCTGTTGCTCTCCAATCTGTTCTAGCCCATGAATACCAATGTTGCTTTTATTAAAATTCAGGTTCAGCCCATTGCTTTTAATGCCATTATTAGTAATACTACTATTATTATTACTATTATTTGATTCCTGTTGTAAATATATATCATCGTTCAATTTTGTCCCGTTCTTGTTAATGTTTCCTTTGAATACTAGTTGTTCCCACTTAAGTAGCTCAAGTTGTTCATCTAAGATTTGGCGAAATTTTTCTTCTCCGCCTTTTCTGAAACTAAATTTAATGTAAGGTGTATCCATATCTTTAGAGTCTTCTAATTGCAAGTTAATTGGAAGTGAAGAGGAAGAACCATTAGAGGGCGATGCCACTGAGTAGGTTGCTTGCATGGCGGTGGAAACCGATGATGTTGAAGTTACATTGGATGACTTAGGAAGTTCAGTTCCACATATTTCGCAGTACTTCATTGATGAATGATTTAAAAATGTACAAGCGGGGCAGGCATTCAACTTGAAAGAAGAAGAAGAAGAAGCATTGATCAGCAGCTTTGGCCCTTCCTGGGCGACAGTGGCAGTGTCTTCTATAATTTGATCCTTAGCTGGGGGTGCCAGCTGCCCAGTCAGTTGACTCAGGAGTGCCTTCAATTCCATCTTTCGTATCCCGCAGGATGCACATACGCTAGCAGTTCCAATATTGCTAAACGTACAGATCATACATATCCATCTTTCGTTAGCAATGTTTGATGATGTTGAAACAGAGATCGAAGAACTCTCTGAGTTATCGACTTCACCACCTTTTTTATTCTTGAAAAATAACTTGACCTTCGGAGAAGATCTTAGGAATCCCTCAGAAGACTCCAACTTAACAATTTCTTTAATCAATACACACAAACTATTATCTAATGTTTCGCTGTCTACATAAATGATTCGCTGATTCGTTATATATACGCGGCCATTCTGACGATTGATGACTTTCAGTTTCCCCTGATAGAGCCCTATGTCTTCCCTTACGTAGAGGTTATGCTCTCCCTCCTCTAGGATAGGTCGACCACTCCTATTTAGTAGGACTGACTTCCAGACGTTCATGTTACGGAGGTATATAGAGAGGAAGCAGACCACTAGAATCATCAGAGGCACTTGACCTCAAGTAGCTTCCAACTGTACACCCAGGGCGGACTGATGTGGATCACGTGACAAATCACGCTTGGTTTACCTCGCATCTCTGATAATGTTCCCCATTACATATGTTGCAGCTAGGTTTCGCATACTAGAGGGAAAATTACAGAGAAATGTTGCTTAAGTTAGACTTGAGGTGGACAAGATGGAGAAGAAGAAGAAGAAGAAGAAGAAGAAGGGCAACTGTTCGATAGCAATCACAACAAATAAGAACACGGAGAAAATGCAGCAGATAACCAAGATTAAAAGAGAGTAGTGCACTAAAGCAGAATGGAACGGCTCTACAGCTGGCACTTGTCTTCTACCTTCTGACACACACCCTTGTGAAACCGCAACATCTCGACTTTCTCGCTCCACAATCTCAGGGTTCCTAATAGTTGCCACTCTCGCACGAAACTCTAAATACCTCTGCCCCTCTATTTACTTCCATCCCAATATACGACCTTGTGTATTGTTCGGTGAGTTGGCGAACACTGGGAATACTAAGAAAGTACAAGAATAAACGGAAAAAAAAAGAAAGTGCTGCACCATCCATATACGTCCATATACATCGAGTGCTTCAAGCTAGCAAAGAAAGCATGGCCCCACTCAACAAAGGGCCCTTCGATTCCAGCAGCACCCTGTACGACCCCAATTTCGGATCTTAGTCTGATCTACAACAATACAATCGCCCTCCTATCTCTCCCCCCTCTCTCGTCCGACTATCTCACTTAGCATGGGTTGCATACGTTCACTAGACGGGCGCATGAAATAATTTTCATTTTTCTCAATCAGTAGGCGAGGAAAAAATAAAAATTGTGAATTTGCTCTCAGCTCGCTCCACAGCACAAAAGGCTCTCAACCACAAACAATACAGACATCTTAGGGTACAGGGTGGATAGTAGTATACATAGAGGGTTTTTTTAGCGATATTGTTGCAAATTCTGGGCTACGGGGCATAATACTAGACGATATTAGTTGAAATTGCGATACTTAACGAGATCATCGACCGATACACTTCAGGGCAAGATAATTAAATAACATCTAATCAGTATCCTTGACATTAAAACATGGCATTTTTGTTTAAAAGAAATCCCAAAACTCCGCCGGACTTGATCCGTGCGTTGAACGAACAGGTGGTTAAACTTGACCAGACCATAGATAACAAAAAATACCAGGATGAAGCTGCTAGATACTTGACTCAGGTGAAGTTGATCCTCCATGGAGATGACGATAATGACCCACAACCAGACCAGATCTCCCAATTGGCACAGGAAGTCTATTCTAGCGATTGTCTTTACCTCTTGATCTACAGTCTCAAGAAACTCGACTTTGACTCTAGAAAGGACGTGTTGATATTGTTTCTGACCTTGTTGAGGAGACAGACGGGTAACAAGCTGCCCACGGTGGACTACTTAATTAACCACAAGCCAGAAATCTTAATCATGCTATTGCGAGGCCCGGAAAACCAGGAAATTGGGTTGATCCTGGGCCAAATCTTAAGAGATTGCATAAAGTTTGAGGTGATAAACCGGTTCATCTTACATCATCAGATATTCTGGAACTACTTTAAGTATTGCCAAATCTCTATATTCGAAATCGCCACTGACGCATTCACAACATTACACGATTTACTAACGATCCATAAGAAACTCGTTAGTGAATTCTTAGCATCCAACTACGATACTTTTACTGTTCAGATCAACCAACTATTACAACTGAAGAACTACGTTACAAAGAGACAGAGTGTCAGGTTATTGGCAGAATTGGTCTTACAAAGACAAAATCAATACTTTTTAAACAAATACTTTGATGATACGAATAACTTGAAGTTGATCATGTTACTTTTGAGCGACAAGCTGAAAAACTTACAGATAGAAGCGTTCCATATATTCAAATTCTTTGTAGCGAAACCAAAGAAGTCCCAAAAGGTGTTGGATATTTTGATAAAGAACAAAGAGAATTTCCTAGAATTGTTCAAGAACTTCGATATAACATATGCAAACGATTCCAATTTGATAGAAGAACGGGACTATATATTGGGGGAGATTCAAAAATTACCAGATATAGACAAAATTAGAGCTGCATAGAGAGTACATAAATATCACATTAGTCGGCATAGAGAAAAGGCATGGAAAATGTAGAAAGAAATGGAAATGGAAACGGTACGAAGATTGTAAATGTGGGTCTATTTGCTATTCTTATTCTAGATTATATATATTATTCTTATTACTTAAGATTTTTTCTATTTGGCTACTCTGGACCACCCATTGTATTCTTCATCACCGTATTGAATGGCACTGATCCATTCGGAGACGGACTTAGTTACTTCACCACAAGCACCGGCAACGATTGGGACTTCAATGTCCTTACCCTTCCAACCAATGGCCTTAATTGGGGAAACAACGGCAGCTGTACCAGCACCGAAAGCTTCGATTAATTGTCCCTTTTGGGCTCTTTCTTCAACTTCATGGATAGTGAACTTACGTTCAGTGACAGTCCATTCCTTTGGTAATCTTTCCTTACATAATTGCAAGATGGAATCTCTAGTGACACCTTCCAAGATAGTACCGTCCAATGGAGCGGTAGTTAATTCCTTGGTTCCATCATCGTTCTCGAATGCAAAGAAAGCGTTCATGGTACCGACTTCAGTGATGTAACCTTCTTCACCGAAAAGCCACAAGTTTTGAGCGTAACCTCTCTTAGCGGCTTCTAACTGTGGCAAGATACATGGTGCGTAGTTAGCACCTAACTTCTTGTCACCAACACCACCTGGCCATGCTCTTACGGCGTGGCCAGTGGCTTCTAAGGAAACTGGCTTGAATCCAGAGGAGTAGTATGGGCCTACTGGGGAAGCGATAACATACAATAAAGCACGGTCTGGAGTACCAACACCCAAAGAGGCAGTGGTACCGATTAAAGTTGGTCTCAAGTATAATGAGTAACCGGTTCCTTCTGGCACGAAGCTTTCCTCAACTAACAAGAACTTATCTATCAACTTGATCAATTCTTCACCATCAAAAGTTGGTAAAGCAATTCTGGCGGCAGACTTGTTCATTCTGATCATGTTCTTGTCAGGTCTGAAAGTTCTGATGTTTCCGTTCTTATCCTTGTATGCTTTCATACCTTCGAAAAGTTCGAAAGCATAGTGTAATACAACGGTGGATGGGTCCAATGACAAGTTGTGGTATGGGGAGATCTTTGGAGTACCCCAACCAGCTTCAGCTGTCCATTCAATTTCAAGCATATGGTCAGTGAAAGTTTTACCAAAGACTAACTGGTCATTTGGAAGTTTGGTCTTTGGACTTGTCGTCTTGATGATTTCAAGCTTAGATGCGTCAAGCGAAGCCATGTTACGGATTGTAGTTCTATTTATGAAGTTGTTAGTAACTGAAAAATTTTGAGATGCTCTTACTCCAGTCCCAGCAGCTCTAAGCGAGTGAGCTGCGAATCTTTTCAATGTAGCGTGCATCGTGTACAATATTGGTGACTAGGACGAAAAAGTGAAAAATGGAAGTGGTTTCGTAATCTGATTCAAGGATGGAACAAGTACGACAAATGAGTACCCTCTTTAGTAAAACTTCCTTTTTTTATTTAATTTTGATTGAAGCCCGGGCGAGGAATAAATAATACGAAGTTCGTTAGATGACTCAAACTTATTCTACTAAGAAGAACGAAAAGAAAAAGGATGAGAATAAGCTTAAATTGATTCTTATCTTTTTTTCGTTTCTGAAAAATTTTGGAAAATTATTTTTTCTTTTTTGATTCGTCAAAGCGCTAAAAGTTTCTTTTCAAAAGAGAGTTTGGTATGAAAGGTATTGCAACTAGATAGCGGATTTCTGTCTTGATATCTGCAGATAGCGATGCGGTTTCTCTCCACTCGTACACTTTTCCAGACCTGTATTCAAATTCTTATCTATTCATACATACGATTGGTATTACTGAAACTGGAAAATTATACTCTGCTGGAGGATATTGTGCGAAAAAGGCCGTTCTTTATACGCTCTTTGGGCCGGTTTCGGCAGCTTCGATGTGGGTGCCTTGCACCATTTGATGTCAAAATTTCGGATATTCGCGGTCGAGATGAGTCGAAAAGCTTAATAGTGCCGGATCATAGGCGGTTTACTCTTACACCTGGAGATACCTCTGCTGACGTGGTATACCCCAGAGCCGCTTGCAACCTCTAAGTAGGTTAATAAGTAAAAATCAGCTTAGCCTATCTCTTCAAATGGCGTCTGGTTTGAGTGTTAAAAGTAGTAAGTTGCAATACCACACACTCTCTGTCTTTTGTTTGTACTTCATTTTGTGGGGAAAATGCAACACATTTGCAGCCATTGCAAATGAAAACTTTCACCTCTTAGTACGACATTCATTATCGAGGATGTACTTTCTCCATCTCTCTAAAGAACATGACTGGGCCAGGGTGACCACTTTCAATATACTCTTTTCTGTTATTTCTTCTCACAACAATTTGAAGTCGTCAATTACTTGTTCTAAAAGTGCCACACTGTATACCTGCCAGCGATCAGAACTTCAGGAATGAAAAAAGAAGATCTTATTGAAAATACAGAAAAGGCTACAGTCATCATCCCAAGTATCATATGTGCTCTCAATTAAATTCATATTAACTTTCTAATCTATTTGGCTACTCTGGACCACCCATTGTATTCTTCATCACCGTATTGAATGGCACGGATCCATTCACCTACCGATTTGGTTACTTCCCCGCTAGAACCGGCAACGATTGGGACTTCAATGTCCTTACCCTTCCAACCAATGGCCTTAATTGGGGAGACAACGGCAGCTGTACCAGAGCAGAAAGCTTCGATTAATTGTCCCTTTTGGGCTCTTTCTTCAACTTCATGGATAGTGAACTTACGTTCAGTGACAGTCCATTCCTTTGGTAATCTTTCCTTACATAATTGCAAGATGGAATCTCTTGTGACACCTTCCAAGATAGTACCGTCCAATGGAGCGGTAGTTAATTCCTTGGTTCCATCTGCATTTTGGAATGCAAAGAAAGCGTTCATGGCACCGGCTTCAGTGACGTAGCCTTCTTCACCGAAGAGCCACAAGTTCTGGGCATAGCCTCTCTTAGCGGCTTCTAATTGCGGCAAGATACATGGTGCGTAGTTAGCACCTAACTTCTTGTCACCAACACCACCTGGCCATGCTCTTACGGCGTGGCCAGTGGCTTCTAAGGAAACTGGCTTGAATCCAGAGGAGTAGTATGGGCCTACTGGGGAAGCGATAACATACAATAAAGCACGGTCTGGAGTACCAACACCCAAAGAGGCAGTGGTACCGATTAAAGTTGGTCTCAAGTATAATGAGTAACCGGTTCCTTCTGGAACGAAACTTTGATCCAATAACAAAAATTGATTAATCAACTTCATCAATTCGTCACCATCAAAAGTTGGTAAAGCAATTCTGGCGGCAGACTTGTTCATTCTGGTCATGTTCTTGTCAGGTCTGAAAGTTCTGATGTTTCCGTTCTTATCCTTGTATGCCTTCATACCTTCAAAAAGTTCGAAAGCATAATGAAATACAACGGTGGATGGGTCCAATGACAAGTTGTGGTATGGGGAGATCTTTGGAGTACCCCAACCAGCTTCAGCTGTCCATTCAATTTCAAGCATATGGTCAGTGAACGTTTTACCAAAGACTAACTGGTCATTTGGAAGTTTGGTTTTTGGGCTCGTCGTCTTGATAATTTCAAGCTTTGAAGCGTCAAGCGATGCAAAGTTACGGATTGTAGTTCTATTTATGAAGCTGTTAGTAACTTGAGATGCTCTTACTCCAGTACCAGAAGCTCTAAGCGAGTGAATTGCGAACCTTTTCAACGTAGCGTTCATCGTGGACAATATTGGTGACTAGTAATGCTGAAACTATAACATTATACCCTCTTGAAAGATATTGTGTGAAAAAGACCATTCTTTATACGTTCCTTGGGCCGGTTTCGGTAGCCTCGATATGGGTACCTTGAACCATTTGTCAGAATTTCAGATTTCGGATATTCGCGGTCGAGATGAGTCAAACTGCTTAATGGTTCCGGATCATAGGCGGTGTACGCTTACGCCTGGATATGACTCTGCTAAAGTGGTATGCCCCAGCGTTGCCTGAAACTTTAAGAGAGTCACTAAGTAGAAAGCAGTTTTTACCATTCCTCGCATAGACTCTGGTGTAAGTGTTATCAGTAGTTCTTGCTTTACGGTACTCCCTGTCTCATTGTTCATTTTTCATTTTGTGGGGAAATGCAACACATTTGCAGCCATTACAAAGGACGTCTCTCACCCCTTAGTATGACATTAGTTACTGTAGATGTGTTTGTTAATCTCTCTGAAGAGTATTCTGGGCTACTACCCAGAATATATACTCGATTCTGTCACTTTTTCACACAACAACTTGGAAGAGGCTCACAGAATTATGTTATTTGAATGACAGATATGATGCCGCACTGTCTTCCTCATCAGTATTCCACGCAGTAGAGAATGGCGGTGTTATTCAAACTACAACAACTGTGAAATGGCTCACTGAAAGTTAAACTACTTTTAATTCAGATGCCACACTCTATTTCCTATCAGAACTCCAGACAGTACGGAAAGATGATCCTACTGAAACGATAGAAAGACTACATGCATCATTCTAATTATCATATATACTCTCATTTAACTTCATATTAACTTTCTAATCTATTTGGCGACTCTTGACCATCCTTCGAAATCTTCATCACCATATTGAATGGCACGGATCCATTCAGCTACAGATGCGGTTACTTCTCCGCTAGAACCGGTAGAGAGTGGGACTTCGATGTCCTTACCCTTCCAACCAATGGCCTTAATTGGGGAAACAACGGCAGCTGTACCAGCACCGAAAGCTTCGATTAATTGTCCCTTTTGGGCTCTTTCTTCAACTTCATGGATAGTGAACTTACGTTCAGTGACAGTCCATTCCTTTGGCAATCTTTCCTTACATAATTGCAAGATGGAGTCTCTAGTGACACCTTCCAAGATAGTACCGTCCAATGGAGCGGTGGTCAATTCCTTGGTTCCATCGGCATTTTGGAATGCAAAGAAAACGTTCATGGTGCCAACTTCAGTGATGTAACCTTCTTCACCGAAAAGCCACAAGTTTTGGTCATAACCTCTTTCCTTAGCTTGCTTCAGTGGCAAGATACATGGTGCGTAATTAGCACCTAACTTCTTGTCACCAACACCACCTGGCCATGCTCTTACTGCGTAATCAGTAGCCTCTAAGGAGACTGCCTGGAACTTAGCATCATATAATGGGCCGACTGGAGAAGCAATAAGATATAATAAAGCACGGTCTGGCGTACCAACGGCTAAGGTAGAGCTAGTACCAATCAATGTTGGTCTCAAGTATAAGGAATAACCGTCCCCTTCTGGAACAAAGTCTTGATCCACTAACAAAAATTGATCAATCAACTTTATGAATTCCCCACCGTCAAAAGTTGGCAAGGCAATTCTGGCAGCTGACTTATTCATTCTGACCATGTTCTTATCAGGTCTAAATGTTCTAATCTTTCCATCTTTATCCTTGTATGCCTTCATACCCTCGAAAAGTTCGAAAGCATAGTGTAAGACAACAGCGGCTGGGTCCATTGAGAAATTGTGGTATGGGGAGATCTTTGGAGTACCCCAACCAGCTTCAGCTGTCCATTCAATTTCAAGCATATGGTCAGTGAAAGTTTTACCAAAGACCAATTGGTCATTTGGAATTTTAGTCTTTGGACTCGTTGTCTTGATAATTTCAAGCTTAGATGCGTCAAGCGATGCCATATTGCGAATTGGTGCTACAGATAAAGCAAAGGTGAGAAAAGTGAGTGCTACAAAATAAAGAAGTAATTTCTTTTTCCTATTATCTCGAAAAGAGTAACTGATTATATTTTATATATTACTTTTCCAGATTGCACTTTTCATTACTCATACTTTTTCAGTTGCCTATTTCGGTTGCGCACGGGCTTTATGAGTCAAGGCTCACGTAACATAGGCATACATATATTATTCAAATAATATTTTCAAAAGATACAAGCCCCATATGTTAGCTATACGGTAGTACATGCTCATTCCCGCCTGTGATGAGTAATTGATGTGTAGTCACTGCTGGAATCTTCTGTGCTTTGACAGATATTCCATAAGTGCGGGGTACATGGTGTATGCAACCACGTAGATTAACCCAAGATTCATCATGACATAAAAGGTACACTGACTCTCATTTTTAACATAATTTATATTATTCTATAATAGTTATATACATACATTATACAAATAAATATTTCACCACCATGATAAAATATTCTCTACAACCATTCCTTCAAGGACCACTCTATTACGCGAAGTGTATTTCAAGGTCTCTCCAAGGTATGGCAGTGTCCATATCAAGCCTCGCGGATCCACATCGACACCATTTACTTGTAGCACTCTTAGTACGCTGGTTGAATCTACTTTAACGTCTGAAACTATGGTTGTCCCATTCTCGATTGTGAATAATGGATCCGACTTCTCTATAAAAAATGACTCAATATATTCTTTCGTTATTCTATTGTTCATGGTATCGATCTTATCAACTTCTAGTTTCTCGAGTTTTAATCTACTAAATGCCATTTTTGGGATCCAAAGGTCGTACTCATGTTTTTCACCCTTAGGTTTCATCAATGGTAACTTTGAAATTTGTATGGAACTCATGAAATTTATATTTCCAAGTACTACATCAGACAACTCTGTGGTTGGAAGCCTTTCACATTCCAATGGATTCTGCACAAGGGAGAATCGGTTGTAGAAGTTTTCATTTAGCTCAATGTCCTTATGTGGACCTAAATGCTTTGGTCTTTTTAATACATTCCCATATATTGCATTGCTGCTGAACAAGTTTTTCAATGTATAGTAGCCCAGAGATGTAAAAGGTCCAGTGGAGAAAGGACTAACCTCACACTGATTAAATCTTTCTTCATAAGGGTCGACCTTAACGACATTTTCTTGATCACCTGTTGTATAATAATTAGGATAAAGGTGAGGTGCCTTCTGCGCAATGGTTATGTTATCTGAAAGTGACCCATACATGTTGAATTTAGCTGTAATCCTATCCAACAATGAAGATCTTATACTATTCTCGTTGTTTATGCGTCTGTCTTCCAATTTCTTTTTTATCGTAGGGACTGTCTTCCGTTTGTCGTACCACAATGGATGAGCTTCAGTAGAGAACACCCAATTTTTATTATCCATTAAATTGGTGTGGAGTAAGACTTTATCTTCCGCATCAAATAATAAATACAAGTACTTCAATGTTTCACTCATTACAAAGGTTTCCATTCTATCCTGCAACTCTCCAGTAAGTACATTTTGAAACCCACTAAACCCACACCTTTGCTTGAATTTTGTTTGCAAGAGTTCAAGTACTCTTTCCCCAATCTGTAAATACATGGGGTCCCTTGTAGCTCTGTAAAGATAGTAGGTGGATTCAATAAATTCTGGTCTCAAAGGATACCATTCAAGTTGAATAGGTCTTCCAGTCTCAGAATGTCTATTTACAAAATCTAATCTCTCTGGTATCAGATCGTAAGTGTTCCATATTTTCAAATATATCATATGAGTACGGACTGCATCTCTTACTTGCCCTGTCAATACTTGTAATCCAGACCAAAATGCTCCTAACAGGTCAAGCCACACACTTGCCAACCTACCACTGTTCACATCAATATTACTGAAGATGGCACCACCGCTGTTGACAGTACCCAACGGCTCGTATAGCAGATGGGTCAATAATGCCTTATAAGAAGTTTTGAACACGTTCCACATGTCCTTGTCATCGAATAAAATCGACATTTTTGCAGCATATTCATAGAAGGAATCCACTGATGCCCCAATTCCAGTAGTGGAATCCTTCCAAAGTGAAGAAAGTGGATCCAACGTCATTGGTAACAAATTAAGAGGCAGCTTGGAGCTCCAGAGTTTCCAAAACGTTTGCTGAGTGTAATTTTCAAATATTAGATCTCCACTCAATTTTGATAATAGAGTAAACTCCAAAGCTGGCGAAGCTGCCCCAGCAGTACAGGTTTCCTTTTGGAGTCTTGCTGGAACTCCCTTCACCCCTTTGCTCAAATTTATTCGGGGAACTGGCATCTGTGTAGTGGTCTTGAAGGCAGGGATCAACCTATACCCAAGATCAAGAGCCAATTCTAATAAAAACCCATCATACTTTTTAATGCATTCAACTTCCAGGGCTCGACTCTGCGGATCATCTCTCAATGTTTCCAATAGCAAATGTGAGCTCATCAAACCTCCAAGTGATCTAATAGTTGATTCAAATACTTGAATAATTGTGTTCTGATTGAACAAGTCCGGGGTTCCCTCCAAATAGTCAAGAACAACCGAGAGTCTATCCCATTCTTCCAAAATTATTAAGCTGTCTAAGTTATCAAGAATGGTCAGAGATGTATTTCCCATAGCATCGTTTCTAACGGTGTCATCTAGGTCGAAAAAGTCTGGTCCATACGGTTGACACGATATTGGAGTGACCTCATCTGCAGGGAAGCCATAGTTCATATAAGAGTCCCAAGCATGAAGGAATAATTCTTTCGTCTCATATTTGAGTAGCCTCAAGTGAGCTGGAGATAAGTGAGATGGTGGTACATCTGCAGAAGGGTTCGCTTGCACTATTTGCAGAAACGATATCGCTGCTATCAAGAGTGATATAATTACACCTTGAGCACATTGAAGTATCATTACAATCAGAGATCAGCACCAACTCTTCGCCTAGAAAGAAGAAGAAGTAGAAGAAGAGGAAAAGAACATGTTGCAGATTTGGCTTGCTGGAACTTTAAAATCGTGAGACTCCAAAAAAAAAAAACTTGTTGAATGGTTGCGCTTAGTGGAGTGCAATACCCTACACTTTTCCTTGATGTTCTAATATCTATTTCTATAACCTACTAAATATATGCATACGTCTTGTAATCCTCCACCTTCTCTTTAGTATACTCTCCAAATTCTTTACACCATGAGTAATACATCTTTATTCTGCTGTTCCTATTCAGCGCGGTACTTATTTCCCAAAAATTCTGTTCACTTGGGTCAATAGCTTACCTGAGCCGAACCAAACTGTAATAACAATCATGATTACATTCATCAGTAATAACAAAATGCCACTCAACATAAACCTAGGCGCAAATATCTTCCATACCATCAAATGTCTTCTAAAGTGTCCTGCAAATGCCAAACTTGATGTGCTTATAATTGTTTGATAAGTTAATAATGAAGTGACATTTGTCACAATTTGTGATAATACAGTAATTGGTTTAGAACTAGGAGGGATCTTCCATAATGTAATTAATGGCACTGCAATACTTATTAAAATAAATGAACCAAATGTATTCAAGGCAAGGTTCAAATGAGTAAACGGGAATGTAATTGTTTCCGTGGTAATGAAACCAACATCCCATTGAATTGATTGCAAAGTTGCTTGATGGCCAGTACTATAAAAATGTTGATAGGCTATCAATCCAAACATCACCGGTGAAATTAAGTTACCACGCAAGTTTAAAATCTGGAAAAGTTCTAGTAAAGTCAATATTTGGATTAGAAGCATACTAAGTGAGATTGCTCCTAAAGGTTTGGTGACAAGCATTATAGGAATCGCAAAATTCAACACGAGGAGAAAATATGATGACCCATAAACATTTTGATACCCTAAAATGACAACCGAATTTTTCTTGCTGTTGCTATTGGATGCATCTTCGTCAGATACTTCTTCAGCTAAATAGTCATCACTTGGACTTTGCTCAGAAAGTTTCACACACAATGGTCCCCTTGACCAACTGTAGTTGGCCAAGATAAGCGTAATAAACATCGATATACGTGCAATAGCTAACTTTATTGACACGATTAATGGTTCTCCAACTGACACAGCTAGGAATATGGTTTTGCTAACGGAACTAAAGATTGACTGTAAATTCGTTAAAATTCGATTTATTGGCAATTCATCGTTCACTATCTTGAAGTTTTCTAACCATTCAATTATAACATAGGCACTATCACCTCCGTTGTTCGACTGGACATACTCTAAAGTCCAGTAGATTGCATTTCCGTACAATAAAAAGGTCAAACCAGTGCCAATCCATAATGGGGCAGCGGAATGATAAGAATCCGACAATGTGTAGAAAGACTTGACCATTCTTGGTAAGATAAGGGCCACTCCATACAATCCCAAAATGGACCACCACGAAGTCTGGAAATTTGATTGACAATAAGGTTGTTGTTCTTCTCTACACAAAGTAATCCCTGAGATCAATCTACTCATTATTAAGAATGAAATGCAATGTGCTATGGCCAATACCCTTTCCTTCTTACTGGAAATCTTTATAGTACATTGAGCAAGACAATAAAATCCAAATGTCTGAATGAAAAAATGAATCATCTTGTCTTCCCAAACAACGAAGGAGTTGGATGCAAATATCAACGAGTGGCCAATTATAAATGATATTCCTAACACCGACCATCCATTGAAGTTATAGATGAAAAAATCGTAAAGTTGATGCAAAAGCCAAGCAACGCTGAATCTATCCATTATCGGTGCCCATAATCCCACAAATATACCAATGGATGAGCCAATTGCAGCGCATCTTCTGAAGGAAAAGTCGACAGGCCCTAAGACAACGTACACTGAAAACAGGAGAACTAGTCCGAGTAACATCATTGCAATAACTGAACCAATAAATTCAAATGACATCGTCAGTACTCTAACCGAGGGGATTAGCCTTGAATATGTTACGACAAATGTGAATGATGCAAAAAGGATCAACACCCCTATTATTATAAGTTTTAAGTCAAATGTAGCCCACATAGCCTTACATTGCTCAAGGAACTTGGATTGGTAAGCTTTACTGAACTCAATCGTAGAGGGGTCAGATCCGCCTTCAATTATTGAGACGTAAATATCATTCAAGCTCTCATCTTCATCTAATCCTGCAACTGTCCTAAATTTCTGAATTTGCTTTGTAGTCTTTATTGACGCTTCTTGAAAGTTCTTGCCAAATACTTCTTGAATTGGTGATCCCAAGTTATTATGGGGAATTGGTAATCCCAATAACAAGGAGAGTGTAGGTACTAAATCAATTTGATTTACTGTACGGAAGTTTGCACCTAAGTCATCAACATTGTATTCCAGTTGGTCCATTCTCTTGAATCCACTCTTTTTATTCTTGGAATACATAAACAATGTGCTTTCCAATTCATCTTTAGAGTCACCTCCATGGTTTCCAGTAGAGTCCATTCCGTGATCTCCCATAACACAGAGTAAGGTATTGGAATCTAGTTTTTCTATAACCTGCCTTATGACATCGTCCATTTGGCTGAGTTTCGGCTTCATTGCGTTATGATCTGGTCCGTATCTATGCCCCACATGATCGACACCCAAGAAATGGCCAATAAGCACATCCCATTCTGGTTGCCTTTTCTTTTCAAGTAATGGCATCATATTGTCTATAACCCCATTGTCCACAGTGTGTAAATCCCAAACATTCAAAGAGTCAAAGGGGAAGAACAAATCGGGGTTAATATACTCGGTGAAGAGTGCCTTCCAGGTGTCGTCACCCATAAATGCAATGGATTTGTTGTGCTTGTGCAACTGTAACAACCAATTGTCCTCATCTATGGCATCTCCATCGAAGTTGGAGCCAGCATCGATGAAAGTTGGCAATGAGCCCGTTGTCAACCCCTTCAATCTCTGCAAAGTGGTGGTTGGTGGGTCTGCAAGAAACTTCAATAAAATGGAATTCTCCGGGTACTTTTGAAACATCTCATATAGTACAGGGAATTGATTGTGGTAAGGCTTACCTTTCTCATTCTCGTCTTCCACGGGTATCACAAAGTCAAACCTTAACGCATCTATAACCAAGAGTATCATCTTGTCGTACACTGGGGGCGTCGACATCACCAATTGCGGATCTAGCTGGGAATCGGCAATGTCGGGCAAAACATTTCTCGACAACAAGAACCCCTGTGTAAAGGTTATCACACCTATGAATTGTAGCATGGCGAAGAAGATCAACACCATGATGTAGCCGAAAAAGGTCATCTTGAGTTTCTGTTGCCTTACTCTGATTCTACCTTGGAGTTGTTGCTTCTGCTGCTGTTGTTGGCGCAAGAGTCTCTGCCTTTGAAGAATGCCATTGAGTGGGTCATCCTCTGGAGATGTTGCACCTGCTGCTGTGGGAACGGGAACCAGAGGAGCATCTATAATTTTCATCTCATCGTTAAGTTCCACCTCATCTTTGGGGGTAGAGGGATTAATCGGAGATTCTTCCATCGTTTATTATTGTGAGGTTCTTCTAGTCGGCACACACCAGCACTGAATCAACTGAATAACAGCTTAATATTCGAAACGAATTAACGAATTATAATAAATAAAAAAGGCAACGAAATGAAAGGAAGAAAGAGATTATTCAAAATCAATAAATATGGTTAGATGTATGCTATTAGTCGAATGCTAAGAGGTTCCCGATGGCAAGAAGACCCGATCTGGCTTGAGTTTGTTTTGCAAACTGCCGCGATTTTTTTCCTGAGGTTTTTTTTTTTGGAATTTCTTCGTGAAATCAATTCGGATGTCACGTGCCTCTGTACCAAACAGAGGGAGCTAATGGTAGTGGAGAGCTGTGGGTGGTGCTACGGCGGTGGTGCTACGGCGGTGGTGCTACGGCTAGCTTGGTAACTTTATAGTTTATTAATAATATACATTGTTCTTGTAAACCCGATAACTACTCTATGGAATGGTCTATTTGGCTCAAGAAGTCCTGGTCAAACGTTCCTCCTCCTATCAAATCTTCTTCATCTCCCTGGAAATTTATCAAATTATCCATATCGTCGTTCATAATTGGGTTGCTTGAGAGTACTTCGTCACCGCCGTCGAAAATATTATCAAGATCGTCATCGTCATCGACCTTCTGTCCGTCGTTGCTAACCATCATAGCAAAACCCGAGTCACCACTTGCTTCCGGAGCTCCTACAGCAGCTGAAACGCCTGCACTGGGCCCCGGATGGATACTTCTACCATCGAAATCATTCATGAATTCCAAGGTGTCTCCTTGATAGTGTGGCACTCCCTGGGAATGAACCTGCTGAGCCTGTGCGGCTTGTGATTGTGCCTGCTGTTGAGCCTGTGCCTGTGCCTGTGCCTGTGCCTGTGCCTGTGCTTGGGCTTGAGCCTGCGCCTGTGCTTGGGCCTGAGCTTGCGCCTGAGCCTGTGCCTGGGCCTGTTGCTCTTGCGCTTCCTTCTCTTTTCTCTCTCTTTCCTCTTCCTTTCTTCTCTCCTCCTCGATCCTTGCTTGTTCTAACCTCTCGAGTTCCAATCTTTCTCTTTCTTCTCTTTCTCTCTGTTCCCTTTCAGCCTGCTCCCGTCTTTCTCTCTCTTGTTTTTCTTTCTGGAGGGCTATAAGAGAGCCAATTTTCTTCGGGTCGTACCCATCTGGCGCCCTAGCAACCTTGATATCAAACTTGGCACTCAACTTCTTATACGTTGGCTTGGTCTCATATTTTTTCTTGAATTCTTCCTCCAAGTCCTTGCTAACACCATTAAATCCACTTTCAAACTCCTTGAGGGATTGCTCGGAGCTCACACCACCCTGTAGTATGGAGAGCTCCTTGATCTTCAGTTGTTGAAAAGCGTACTCACGCCTGTCTTCCCCATCTTGGAAATAGTCTTCACCAGTTATAACGTTTCCCACAGTAAGCAATTCAGTCTTCATTCTTTTCACTTTGTCTTGCATCAAAGCCAAAGTTCCAAAATACACCTCGTCTTGCTTTAAGTCCTCTACACTGGTGTGCTCGTTCTTGGGAGGGAAGCTTGAGGGAGGGATAATCTTAGTGCTATGTACGTATTTCGACGTAACGTTCTCCAAGTACTCCTGGTTGGTGATGAATCTAGCCAATGCGTCGGAGCGGAACGATATAAGGTCAGCTTCATCATGAAGCTGGGCAGAGGGTTCCTCCTTGGGGACCGTGCCTTGCATTTGTGGGTGGAGCTGGTTCTGTTGTTGGTGAAGCGACCGGTTTTGATGCAGCTGATGCTTTTGTTGCTGCTGCTGTTGCTGCCGTTGCAGCGAGTACCCCGAGGGACGATTCATACGACGCTTGGGACGACCTGACATACTGAAGCTGGGTTTTTTTATGTTGTTTACTGCAAACTTCACTATCCTTTACGTTTAAAAATTCCAGTCGGTTTTTTTTGTTCGTTGTATGTTTGTATTCTATATGCAGGAAATATTCATATTGTATGCAGTTCTTCATATCAGCTTATCTCGACCACATTCCCCACTGATAACAATTAAACCACTACTTGACTTCTTCGTTCTTAATGTCTTTTATTATAAATATTATTATTACTATATATCGATATTATGTTACTATTGTTATTACAATTACTGCTACTATTACTGGTGATAGAAAGAAAAAAGGGGGTAAATTAATAAAGTACAATACTCCAATAAATAATTGTATAAATGCAAATGCAATTGTTCAAAGTTGCAAATCAAAGTGGGATGAAAAGTAAAGTGCGTAATGATTAATAGGATGAGTCTTAACCTAATTCAAGTGGCTTCTCTAGAGTCTCTTGAATGTCATTTCTCAATTTGATATTTTTTTTTTCTGTTTTTGTTTTTTATATTTCGTATTTTGGTAACATTTCTTAGTTTCAAGAACCTTAATAACTGATTTTGACTTTGATCTCGTTGTCTGTTCTTTTTTTTTTCAATCATACCCGAATCATCATCGTCATTATCTTCACCAAAATGATTTTACTTCTTCTATTGTCTCTTTTTCTTCTTTCATTTGAATTGGTTATACCATTTTCTTTTCATGGCAGGTGTTTCCATTGATTTTATACGTTTTAGGGGTTCTTGAATGAGCTTTCTAAGTGGTTTTTTTAATATATCCATCTTCATCTTCATGAAAATTATTGTTCATATACTGTGATTACAAGTCAAATCTTCCGTTCACAAATTCCTCATCTTCCATGTTGTCCTGTTCATCGATATCCATTTCATCATCCTCGTCTATTCTATCGTCATCAATTACATCTTCATCAGGTGGTAAGTTTGGATTCCCATATATCAAACTGCCTGGGTTTCTATATTTATGACTCTTACTGAAATGATCTTCGATGGTAGAGTCGTCAACGTAAGTAAAGCCTTTGAAATTTGCTTGGATACCGGGCGATAATGGAGTTGATGCCAAATCCATATTTTTCTTTAAAATTGATGTACTTTCATTGGTGAATTCGGGATCAAAATTAGAAGTATCGGTCTCTGATGTTAAATGGGGCTTGAATGGTGGTGGAATATTCTTCTTCTTCAATAAATCCCAATCAATATCTGCGAAAAATACATGGGCTCTAAGTTCTCTGGCATCGCCCACTGATCCCAATCTATGCTTTGGGTTTCTATTTAGTAAGCCTTTCACAAATGATCTACCTTCTGGTGATAATACTTCTTTTGGGAATCTCACTTTACCAAATGCAATATTCTTATACATTTGTTGAGTATTGTCTGCATAAAATGGTGACCAACCACAACACATTTCGAAAATTAAAACTCCCAATGACCAAAAATCAACCATCTTCGTATATCCTGACTCGTCCAATAAAACTTCTGGTGCCAAGTACTCAGTGGTACCACAAAAAGTGTTAGTAGTACCATCATTGTTCAAATTTGCCTTTGACAATCCAAAATCACACAAGGCAATATGTCCGTTGGCATCAAGTAAGATATTTTCAGGCTTCAAGTCTCTATAGACGATGTCGTTGTCATGCAAATGTTCCAATGCTAAAATCAATTCTGCAATGTAGAATTTAGCTCTCTCTTCGGTAAATCTACCTTCTTTTTGTAAATGCCAAAACAACTCACCTCCAGACATATAATCTGTCACCAAGTAAAGATCAGTAGGTGTCTGGAAGGAGAATTTTAGTCCAACAATAAAAGATGATTCAGCAGCCGAAGTTCTTACCAATATATTTCTCTCACCGATAGTATGGGCGATCTCTTTCTTCTTGACAATAACTTTCTTAGACAACACCTTCATCGCATATATTCTATTGGTATCCTTCTTCTTAACTTGGAAAACTTGACCGAAAGTCCCCTTTCCTAATAATCTTAACACATCAAAATCGTCAGGTCCAAACAGTTTCTTTGTATCTAACAAAGTGTACTCCCAAACCAACTTGATTTGACCACGAACTCTTTCACCTATAACTCTGGCCTTCAAATCCAACCACTGTTCATTCAGCTTGGTCTTCTTTTCACCACCTGTTGATGGGAAAATTCTTAAGTGGCCCAAAAATGAATCATCCGTCGCAGCATCGTAAACTGAAATATCCAACTCCAGCTTAACTCCCACAACATCGAATGTGGCCTCATGATTCCAAATTGGATTTGAAGAACCAATATTTTGTTGTGTTGCACTTGTATTGCTCATGTGTTGATTAGAAGATTGTCTTTGATATAAAGGTGGTCTTTTCTTACCTATGCTGTTTGGTTCATATTGGTTGTTGTTAGTGTTGTTGTACATAGATACAGCGCCAATGGTCTTGTTATTGTAAGATCCAGAAGCATTGGTAACAAATTCACTCAGTTCGAAAGTGCACACAACATAAGGTTGTGAGTGAGTCGAGTTGATCAATAAGTTACGGGCTTCAACAATCTTTACTCTCAATTTTCCTTTTGGTTGAGAAGATGCCTTCGTTGTTGATTTATAGTTTTGGCCAGTTTCATCTGTAGTGATGATTATAGGTTGTGGTTGACTAGATGATTGGGACGAGTGCGAAGAGGTGTTGGTGTGAGGTTGAGACAGAGCTTGAGATGATAGTTGTGGGGCACTTTCATATTGTTGGTATTGTTGTTGTTGGTGGTTTTGGAGCTGCTGTTGCTGCTGCTCATACTGGTGTTGGTGTTGGTGTTGGTCTTGCTGCTGTAACGGTTGTTGCTGCTTCATTGTATTTAAAAAGTCCGAGTCGCTTCTATTTTGAGTTTGTTTAGTGCTGGTCGTACCATAAGCCAACGAGTTGTTGGATATAGCAGTCGTAGGAGTAGCATTGGCCAACCCCTTCGGAAGAAACCTCCCGCTAGAGGCGGACACAGAGTCATCGATATGGACCTCACCATGAGGGGACGGGTAACTTTGTTCCTGTCCATCGCCCCCCTGTCCTTGGACTTCTGGGGAACCACCCTTCTTGTGAAAACCGCTAAAGCCAAATATGCTCTTTGCAAAATCAGCCATTATAATATATCAGGAGCTAATGAATATGATGGGGAGTCAAAAAAAACGAAAAAAAAAAAGAACTGCCCCTATACTTAATAGAAGGAATGTCTAACGCAATAACTAACGTTCCAGGTTTGAAGTGGAAAAGGGAGGTTAGGTCTATGGTGTGTTAGTAAGAGAGAGCACTTGTATTGAGAGTTCCGATTGAAGGAACGCAAAGAGATAAGAATTTATAAGACTTCAGCAGCCTAAAGAGTAACTAGGGCAGCTAGTAGAACGAAACGAAGGAGAACTGTTTATCGTTGCCGATTAAACTGTTTGTTTTTCCTTTACATTTCCGCTTTTGACTTTTTGTGTCTAAATTTTTTTCCCTCCCTAGTCGCTAAAACCGGGAACAAGCGCCTAGATGGGCGATGATTCACCAGCTAAAGGAGAGGGATAGTTGAAGTCAAACAGGGGTGCAGCAATGACTAGAGTGCAATGGTCAGCAGTTGGAGACCAAGCTAGGTCACTGGAGCGGTGATTATTCGCAACTTGTTGCTTTTATTGATAGTATAATCTCATCTCCCTTACGTGAGGCAGGACGATGCCTGTGCCCGATAACATTTCTCCCTAATTTCGTACTAGAGCACTTCAAAGCCCAATTATAATCCCCCAAAACATACCGTTCTTAGTAATCCGTATCAAGAAAATTGACACTGTGGCTATATCGATATAACACACTAGAAGCTGGAAAAAAAGAAGCAAGCAAAAAAAATAAAGGAAGACAGAGAATGCATATCCCATAAAAATTGTACTGAGATAATAATAATGAGGTTCCCTTCTATTGATTAGCCTTTCCTGTAACGTCGGCGCACGAAAAAAAAAAAAAAAAAAAAAAAAAAGAAAATTACGTAGGGAAAATAAAAAGAAAGAAATGAGCGACATATGCTGTTGAGGACGACTGAGAGAGGGTAGGAGAAATCACTGGAAAGTGGTGCCCTGGGCACAAGAAGGCCACCAGCGGTGTTAAACGCTTCTACAGAACAACTCCTGTCAATTTCAGCCAGTAAATGCCTATGTCATGGGAGATAATTGCACCTTTTCTGGGCTCACGTCCTAGCTAAAAGGATATTTTTAATGATTTCCTAACCGAGAGAATCTACGCACTCTGCACATTACGTAGTGTTAGATTAACCTTGAAAATTAGAGAGAAAAAGAAAAAAAGAAAAAGGAACGCACTTAAAAATACTGGCCAGGACAGGCTCAACAACCGATTTGTCATCACAGAAGGTGTCCCAGTCATTCTTGTTCTTCCATTTTCCGATCTCTCTTCGCCGTCTTCCCTTTAGTAGACGAAGGCAAAATAGAAAATAAAACCGAAGTCGGCCAGTGGCTAATGGCAATGGACCTCAGCAAAAACGGTCTACGTTATGTGCAAGGATGCGGAATTTAGATATGCACAATGAACTGCGCGAGAAAGAAAGCTTGGGCCGCCCAGTGCTAGCTAAGATCGGTGGCTGAAGGAGAGCGCAAAGAAGGGCTTTCTAAAGGCAAGCGGGAATAAAAGGAAATTAGATCAGCAGGAACGGTACAGTATGAATACTTGAATCTGGAATGAAGAATGTCGATACCGATGCGGAACGAGCAGGGACGGGTGTGTTTCAGTTTCTCAAATCTGTTTCTGTTTCGTTTCTTCTTTTTCATTATTTAGGGTGTGCGTTTTTTTAATGTGCTTAAATGCGAGCAGCGCTCTCATCAAGTTTGCATTTTCCACCTCTTCCTTGCTGTTAGTGAGCACGCATTTACCTGGCCACCACCCAGGACTATGGTCCTAATTCGTCCCTTTTCTAAACTTCTGCCTCGAACTCGCACACTGGTGTTCTCTTTACCTAGCCCCCTTTCATCTTGTCTTACTTTCCGTTTCTTTCCCTTCATTTTCTTCTTTTTTTGCACCACCCCCTTGTCGCATTGTCCCATTCTCGTACTCATGCTCACTCTTTATCTTCCCCACTAAAAAGAGTCGCACACTTGCACTGAGCCTAGGGTGCCCGTGATGTTACACAAAACCGATCTCGTTCTCGTCTCGAATTTTTTTCAGTCAAAAATTCAAGTCTTGTGGCCAGTGCAAGACTAGGCAGATTAAACACCCACAGTACACTTAATCATGTCTTTTTTGAAGTCAATATGGTCTATACAGACTAGGTCATTCAGCCAGACACCTCTGGTCTCTCATAAAACATCGAAAAGCTTTCATAGGCTCAGCAAATACGTGCGTAAGGTGAACGACACCCAGCACCACGCAGGCGAGGAGATCAAGGGCATCGGTAAGATCCCCCTGCAACAAGCAGAGCTCCCTGTATATCAATATGAAGCTAGATTCTTCAAGCGTCAGAACCGTGGGCTCTATGGAGGATTACAACGTAGAAGCGGACACACATGTTCTGAAGCAGAGAACAAGAATAAAAGAACCTACTTGCCAAACATCGTAAACAAGAGGTTATGGTCCGAAGCCTTGAACACTGCCATCAAATTAAGAGTATCAACCAAAGTTTTGAAAACAATCACCAAAGATGGTGGATTAGATGAGTATTTGACAAAGGATACTTCCACTAGAATCAAGACTTTGGGCTTAAAGGGCTGGGAATTGAAATACAAAGTGCTAAAGGCCAGAGAATTCGCCCAATTGCCAAACTACAACGGCTTGAAAGTATACTATATTCACCCCGACGGGAAGGAATTCATTGTAGAGAAAGAAGAGTTGGTAGAAGCATTGTATCCATTCGTTCATAGAGATAGCTTTGAAGGAGTGAACAAAGACAAGTTTGTTAAGGAATCGTCCGTTTTGACCTTTGAAGAGTTGGTCAATCAGTTGGAGGCTTATAACTTCGACTTCACCAATGTTACAGTCCAAGAACACCAAAGAGTGGCACTGGAACGTGAAGAAGTTGCTTGAGTTGGAGCAAAAACAATGAAAACCGAAGAAGAAGAAGGAAGAAAAGAAAAGAAAGAAAAGAAACTCCAGTGATACATTGGACCACTTCTTTGTTGCATAGTACATAGTATATAGTGGAGTAGACCCTAGTCAACGGGCTTAATAGCCCCATCACTCTTGGGTATGTATATATAAATCATCTACAGAACTAAACTTATCTCCACCTGTATATAAACCGCGGTCTGTGTGGCACGTGCCGCTAGGTTTCCAACCCTAACAGCGTCTCGCACACACCATCCTGTATGGATCCACATTTGTGTGAGTTTACGTGCTCTGTATGCAGTAAACGCATCTAGCGCATCCTGCACACACACCCTCTCCCAGCTCGCTCGCCTACGGTGGGAACAAAATTTTCTCCCATAGCATTGAAAAATTTTCTTTAAAACATTACAACCTAGATTTACTCTGTTTTAGAAGATATCATTAATTACAAAAATGGCTAGATCAGGTATTGCAGTTGGTATTAACAAGGGCCACAAGACCTCCGCTAAGGAAGTCGCCCCAAAGATTTCATACAGAAAGGGTGCTCTTTCCAAGAGAACTGCCTTTGTCAGAGACATCGTTAAGGAAGTCGCTGGTTTAGCTCCATATGAAAGAAGATTGATTGAATTGATCAGAAACGCCGGTGAAAAGAGAGCCAAGAAGTTGGCCAAGAAGAGATTAGGTACTCACAAGAGAGCTTTAAGAAAGGTTGAAGAAATGAACAAGGTCATTACTGAATCCAAGAGACACTAAGTGTGTTTTTGTATAAATTTAATAAAAATTTTACGTTCAAGTGAAAATAGGAAACGAGATGATTGAAGAAGAAGAGTGTGTTAGGGAAAGTAGGGAAGTTGTCAAGTCAAAAAGAACAGTACATTTTGTGTGACTAGAAGAAGTATACGTGAAACTGGGGATATTACTGCACGGTGACACAAGATCATTATAAACCTGTTGAATACCATTTGGAATTTATAATACCGTACTTGGACAGTTGTTTTGCCTGTTGGCTATATGCTTTTTTGGCGTGCGGGCCTCCCTATATGCACTCGACTTAGTGAAGAAATCTCTCCTAGTGTAGAAGATGTAGTTTTATTTGTGTAGAGCCGAATATCTAGCTGAAGGGGGCATGAGCATAATAAACTGGCTGACTCGATGTTGTCTCCGAAAATGGCTACAGATATAGGCGAGGAACCGCTATGGTTTGCCAAGGCGTACTATGTCAAATTCTTCCCAACCTCGCTTCGATATTTACCTACGCAGCGTGAAATTTTCAGCGCTGTGATTGCGCGCTAGGGTGGAGCTGAAAATCTATTCACTTGTATGGTAGTGACAGTTCTTTGCAAAGAAGACATCACCGACAATGCTTAGATTTGGCACTCGTAGGCTCTTTTCGACAGGTGGAAGGTTGAAGGTACAGCAAGTGCCGCCTCCGACACATTTTTCGAACCAACCGCCCACTCATTTCAACAATATTACAACCTCTTCCCCCATCTCTCCCGCGAACCATACTGTTAACCTTGAAAATCAGCAATCACCGACCACGTCGCCCTCCACATCGCTGTCGTCGTCCAAACATCTTCGAGAATTGACCATCCTTTTCACTATTATAACGCTCTCGTTCCTCACGGTGGACAACTACATAAATAGAATAAAGCTCGAAAAACTCATTAACGAGACTACGATGATAAACATCAAGACATTGAAAACTCAACAAGTCAATTTCAATGCTGCACAGAAACGTAAGAACTTGCAAATAATTGGCGAGAGAAGAGATAACATGAAGAAGTTTACAAAAATGGGGCTCCACATCGCCATGCTCAGAAAGCAATTAATAGAGTTGGGCCACGATCCTGCTGCAATTGAAAATGTTTTGGCGGAATACGAGAAAAATGTTAAAGTAAATTCATCAGTGAACAACGTCATTGACCAAGTCTTGTACTTGAGTGATGATTCCAATTTGAAGGAATACTATCCAAGCATACACGAATACGAAAAGGCAGGGGGAAAATAGAGAAATCTAAATTGGAAATAATAAAATAAATAATTCAAGTATCCACATCCTTGGTAGTTTGCATCTAAAAGAAATCTCCTACCACACTTTTGTATTTAGTTAAAGGTTACTGGCATATACTTGTTGCACTGCATCCCGCTCACTAACCTTCCTGTATTACCTTAGACAGGGAAATGAAAATTTACCCGGACATCAATTTTTCCTCACTCCTCCCATATAAAACTCATCCGAGATTGAAATTTTTTTAGCAATATTTATTTCCTTCTTCTTCAATACAATGTCTTTTAAGTAGGAGCCCATTAGAGTCACGGGTTACATGACTTCTTCCACGTGTAATCGATAATCGCTATGCGGTTTTATCGTGCTCGGGTAATCCTTAGATTGATAGTTTTTACCAGCCCCGTTCTGTCATGTCTTACTTTTTCATAGTATTACTATGCGGTTCTAAACTTATATTTATTTGTAGCCTATGTAAGAGAGATGTTTTTAATTTTGTATATAATTTAACCAGGTCCTTGATTCTTTAGTTTTGTTCTTCCGGGTTATTCGTGCCTTGTTTTGACAATCGAAGGATCGAGAGGTTCAATTCCTCTCTCTTTCAATTTCTTCTCTAGCAAACTAAACTTTGGACAGCAAGTAGTTGTTTGATCCGTCCTTGTCCCGTTATTCTCGTAGAACTTCTTGCAACATATGTACAAATTATCGATGGCCTTGGCGCACTTGGCTTCTTTGTAACCATTTGCGTTTAAGCAGTCTTGAATAATACAAGCTTCACGTTTACATGGCTCTTCGTCATCATATTTCCCCATCTTGTTCCGTATGTATTGTTTTAATTACTGACGTTTAAGAAAAGGATTATTGGATGACAAAAACGAATTGACTCAGTTTAAATAGAAAATATAATCGCAAAGAAAAAAAAAAAAAGTAACACACATGAAGTAAGTTGCTATTCTTAAGACAATAGAGCAAACGAACATATGCAACAAAGAAGGAGAAAAAGCCTACAGCTTAAATAAAAGTTGCTCTCAGTATCATCAAATTGATGATGCTCTTATTTATTCTTAGAAAAGACGTATCAATTTATCAGGTTTTTATCTAAATCAGTGTGATAATCGTCTTCGTCAAATTCACTAGGCTCGTAGATGACCAATGGAACAAAGTCGTTTCTCTCATTTAATCTTCTTTGTGTCTTAATCTTATAAACATAGTATAAGGCACAGCCGGCAAACACTGATACCAATATAGCCATAATCCCCCATCTGGATATGTGCCAACGTAAACTTTCAATCTCTGATCTCATGGCACTGTTCAACTCTGTGGTAATCTTATGGTTTGTTTCCTGAATTCTTAAATAAACCTTCTTAGAATGTAAGGTGTTTTCAGACTTCTGATCATTCACCGTCACTTGGGCATCATTCTTCATTTGCAAAAATTCGTTGTTCAACTCATCGCTAATTATGTTGAAATCTCTCTCCAAAATATTTATGAGGTTTATCAGCTCATTGATGTGTTGTTCTCTGGATCTTGTTATATCAACACGAAGTTCCTGCTGCGCACTTTCAAACAAGTATCTTTCGTTTTCTAATTCGTACATCTGTGAATACTTAGTGGATAGTTTGGAGACTTTAGAATTAATTTGCAGAATAAGATAGTTTATAACTTCATCTGACTGCTTAGGTGAAAATCCAGCTATTATAAGCTGTCGGTAAACATCGTAAGTATCAATGTACGGTTCCATCTTTTCGAAAATCGTAGTAAGATATTCGTCAGACTCTTCGTTACTGATTTCAGCACTAGGATTACCTGCCTTGGGAACTTCTGGCGGCACAACCTTCAAATCTACAGGCTCTATCTGCTCGCCATCGACCAAACCTGCTCCACTACTTTTCTCCTTTGATTTGGATGTCTTACTCTCACTTCCTTTTATTGATTCACTCTTATTTTGATCAGCACTTTTCTCTACCTTCTCACTATCCATGCGTCGTATGCTGGTCCCAAAGAATCTTCTGTTAGTATTTCTCCTTGCAATGTTCACCTGGCGTCCCAAGAGATACGTTTGTGAACAATCTACTCTGAAATTAGATATGAATCTATAACTCGAGCCGCCACTTCTGGTTATATTTAGCATATGTCCTCTAGGGCTTTGTAATGCCCTAAGACCATTTTTAAACATTATTTCTTTCCCGCTATATACGAAATTGGTGTATATATGGAAATGTTCTTAGATAAAACTATATATATAATAGCACTCCAGTTGCATTTATGAAGCAAGCATTATCTATTTCAAAATACGCGCCAGTAAAATGTATGTTTGACATCCGATGACACAAAATATTCTAACTTCAGCAAAACTAAGCGAGCAGCACGAATTTGATTCAATAGTAATGAGCTAATAGCATTGTCTGTGTTCTAAGTAAAATAGTTTAATCTGTTCCGCTTATTGTAAGTGGAGGATTGGAAGCAGTAGAGTTCAAATCGAATAGTCTCAAGCTCCTTAATCTTTCCAAAAATAAATGAAAAAAATTGTTGGAGTTGATGCTGGCCATTGAATCAGACAAATGCGAATGGTCAGCACTGCTTTTTATGATATTCCTTGCACTATAATAGTAAATTGATCTGATGAAAAATTTAAAGCTGAGACTACCCTTGGATTCAAAAAAATAGACTTTGTTGGGTGGAAATTCAATTTCTGATAATCTTGTCAAAAAGCCAAAAGTCCTGAATCTCCATTGGCAATTTGCAGCGAGTAACAAATCTGGAGCTGGCGGAAGCATGTCAAAATTTTCAATTGGAAGTGTCTTCAACCTATCATCACATAGATATATGTGAAGACAACTTTCTTCGTTGCCTGCGGGCTGAAAGTTGATATCTTTAGATTCTGAGTCCTTAAACTCCCTTTCTGGGTTGAGATTATTCCCGTCAAGAGCCTTACAATTCTCATTCAACGTTAGTCTTTCCCCACTAAAGCAGTCGATCAATTCCAATCTTGGAATTGTCTTCTGTTGTGATCCGACATCATAAGTACTGAAGCTACTTAGTTCTACTACTAGGGAATCTCTTAAGCTCTTTAAGGCTTTAACATCTTTCCATATTGAACCCTTAGGTTCAAATATTGTCACAAACTTTATATTTCTCGGAAGAAGACTTACCCAAAGGACAAATCTGGTAAACTCACTTAAAATTCTGATTTCTTCAGCCGCTAGGTGAATTCTTTGCTTGGTAAGATATTCATTTCTACTCTTAATTGCTTCTTGTATCTCTTTCTTCGATGGAACCACAATTTTCTTATCATGATTTAAATAGGGCTGAGGTACGTTCACGTCGGGGCCATTGTCAAAGTTATTTTGGTGAAGAATTAAGCCGATTGACTGGGGTAACCAGTCAAAAATCTTGTTTGGAAATATATACCAGATCTTGTCTGCTGTACAGCCCAAGAGTTCGATTCCAATGAACTTACTAAGTGCTGTATATGGAACAAAAATGGTGTTGTACCAAGAAGAAGAGTACCACTCAAGTAAGATGATGCTCAGAAATGTGTCACTATACTTTGAACAAGTATAGAGGACAGCATCGATCCAACCGTAGATATACAAAATACATACAAGACATAACCTTTGTATATGTGTCTTCAATAACAGCCACGTGGATAAAAGGACCTCTTCTTCTTCTTCATCACCACTTGCGAGTATCAAAGCGTTTAACATCCTATTGCCCTTTTGGAGGTCAAGCGAATCAATTCTGAATCCACGAATGGTGTTAATTCCTCCAAGAGAACGAATGCGGGAAGTGCTTGTAGAAGAAATGTTACCGTTCTGCGTCATTTTCATACTATCCATAGGTATACTCTATATGACTCAGCTAGAATGAATGGTGACTGATGTGCGACTGATCTACAACCGCTGGCTCACTAAGGGTAGGTGATAGGTCTGGCTGCAAAAACATTTATTGCCGCAAAAAAGTCAACACGGGAAATAATCCATCCTCGTAAAAAAGGCCTGATGCCACGCTACAGAAAATATCAGAGCATAAAAAATGGCAGGGCTTCAAAAATTGGTTGCGCAGAAATTAGAGAGACGGAGAGATGAAGTGAATGCAGTTGGCAAGATGAGGCATTGTAGCAGAGAAATATGTACACAGTTGGAACAGGAAACTGACAAAATTGACAAGATGAGGCATTGAAGCAGAGAAATATGCACACAGTTGGAACAGGAAACTGACAAAATTGACAAGATGAGGCATTGAAGCAGAGAAATATGCACATAGTTGGAACAGGAAACTGACAAAATTGACAAGATAAGGCATTGTTGCGGAGAAATATGCACACAGTTTGAACATGGAAAGCGAACAAGAAGAAATGAAAAATAAGAAGGAGCAGAAGTCCGAAATGCACTCTCAGTAGCAAACAATTCATTTCAGATAACAGATAAAAAATAAACTGCGTAACATCTAGATTGCAGACCCATCTGTGTGACAGATCTGCCAATCTATTGTGCTCACGTAATGTGTATTGTGGTAATTTACCGGGTCTATTGTGGGATTGAGATTATGCACGTGGGTCGAAAGGTAGCACACCGTTGAGGAGCTGCATATCCAACTAGTCAGGCACACTCACTTCAGGTATAAAAATCAGTAGCGCTGTGCCATTTCAGCAGTTGAAGCTTTGGGGGTGAAATTGAAATGGGTGTCTCTATGATGCTGCAGTGATGAACAGTAGCAAGTTGTGAGAAGAGGAAAAAAAGAAAAGAAAATATTATGAAACTGTACTCTACTGCTACATGTCTCACGACGCCCACGAGCCACGAGCAAAATTCTTGGAGTAATTATTTCCGTGAATTACTTAGAATGCAATTGAAACAGTCTTAGCAATCAATCAACTCGTTGGAGGAGCTCGGTTACAGTGGAGAGAAGCTCAGAGGCGTGAGGTATGCGCTAAATTATTAAGATCGGAAAAAATTGCACTTAGTCAAGAAAAATGACAGAAAAAAAGAAATTCCAGCTCAGCTCACGGACCCTTCGTGTCTATTAGAAAGGCAAGCAAATCAAATGGACCAAGCTAAAAGTAATAGAGCGGATCAGCAACTCCACCACACGAGCGCCCAGGGTAACTCATTGTCTTAACTCTTTGGCTTTGACTTTGGTTTGGGCTCTGATCTCTTCTTCATCTACTGTGTTCTTTGAGGCTTTCAGAGTGAGGCGTCTCACGCATAGAAATGGGATGGCCACTGTGTAAGCGTAACAATATTTTCCAGCATCAGAAATATTTTTTTATCTTTTATTTTTTTATTCTCGCAGTGCAGAGTGCAGAGAGACCAGGCTGTACGAAGACTACGCTGCGCTAGGCTTCCGAGCACTGTTGCACAGCACACCGCTCCTTTATCCCTGAAAACCTTAGTCAAACAGCTTTGCTTAAGCCTAAAAAGATACACTCTGCCTAGATCGTATGATGCTCATGAGAAGTAGGCGTGCGCGATCATCCTACTGTTGTTTTCTTGTTCTTTAAGCTTCAAGCTTTACCCTTTAGCTTTTAAGAATGACACGCTAAAAAATAATTTATTTTTTTTGCAGCTTCTTCATTTCTATATGAAGCAAATTTGGGACCTCTCAGCATCACCATGCAGCTAAAATTTGCAATCTCACCTTAAAGACCCAATTTCAACTCCTAACCTTTCAGGGCTGTTGTTGGCACTGTATACAAATGCCTGTCTCTGGTATGCAAGAGTTACGCGGCTTGCGTTGTTTCTTTTATTTTTCATACTCTTCTAGTCGGAGTGAGTTATATTTTCAGTGGTGCAGCGCATTGCCTATCTTCTCTTCATCTTGTTGTGCTAGGTCAATTTAATTAGCTGTGATAGTGCTAAAGCTTAACTGTAAAAATATTTTTCCCCATCGTCCTGCTCCACATCGCTCTCTCTGTTGCCTGTTTTACTTCACTAGACTTCACTGGACTTTACAGGACTTTACAGGACTTTACAGGACATTTTTCTGGCCCTTCACTGCACTTCACTGGACTTTGCAAAACTTCAAGAACTAACTTATATTAGCTGTCCTTTTCCTTAACTACATAGCCGTTCGTTTCTTTGGACCAATTTGTAACTAATGCTTGGTCCAAATATACTAAGAGACATGTCAAAGTCCATCGGCTTGCCTAGAAGACAGTCCAAGTACCTTACTTACATCACCTTTTTGAGCATTATAGGGATACTATCATATGCAACTTTTATAAGTCCGCACACATACATTGAGCAATACTCAAATATCTTAAAGGCTGGTAGCTTTGCATCGACTTCTAGCAAGAATGACTACAAACTAGTTGGTTACCTCAATGATGATCACAATGACTTCATGATAGTCCAAAAGCATTTGAACTCAGTGCTTACCATCACAGACGACGAAACGAGCAACTTTTTGAAATACATGCAACAGAACCTCCTTAAGGATTCAAGAGTAGATGTGCACACTCTCGAAGGATACGATTACGATCTGATGATGGAGAGACAACATCAGTCGGTTATCGACAAGATGAACATCACCGATCTGATCAAATTCGAAATGCAAGTTAAGTTTCAGCTTCGTTTCAAGCTGTTTTTTGAAGAGTTAATTACCACCATTCAAAAGTGCAAGCCGCTGGTTGATAAAATTGGTGATGATAAGCATTACGACAAGGACAAGACCAATGGCTACGAGAATAGACTTGGGAAGATTCCTTTATACGGTGGCCATACGAGAGAAAATTACTTGGAAGAACCAGTAAGAACCGAAGAAATGTTATCGCTGTTTTTAAAAGTCTCCAACCAAGAAAAGGATGCATTGAAGAGGTCACATATGGATTTCATTTCCAAATTGCCTCGTGATTTTCCCCAGGACTTGTACGACTATTCCGAGTACAATGATTTCATGAAGGGTGATGGAATTGTCTACATGGGTGGTGGAAAATACAATCAATTAGTATTGCTCTCGATTAAGACATTAAGAGATACCGGGTCTAAAGTTCCTGTTGAAGTCATTTTACCCAAGACTAATGATTATGATGTCAAGTTTTGTTTAGAATTACTTCCAAGCTTGAACGGAAGGTGTAAAGTCATGGCTGATTATTTACCGAAACTGTTCATTGACCAAATCAAAGGTTATCAGTTAAAAAACGTTGCCTTGCTTATTCTGTCCTTTGAAAGAATTTTATATTTGGATGCTGACAATTTATGTATCAAAAACCCTGACATTCTTTTCGTCAACAAACCATTTGTGGACCACCATCTTGTTATCTGGCCAGATTTGTGGAGAAGATCTACTTCTCCTGTTTTCTATGACATAGTGGGCATTGCAGTTGATCCAAAAAACAAACTCAGAAACAGTTACTTCGGAAATGATCCTAAGGGCCATCCATTGGAGTCGGAGAAGTACTCCTACCATGATTGTGAGGGTACCATACCTGACCCATCTTCCGAAACTGGTCAAATTTTGATCAACAAAAAGGTGCATGCCAAAACCTTATTTTTATCCTTATACTATAACTTCTATGGTCCTGATTATTACTATGCACTTTTATCTCAGGGTGCTGCAGGAGAAGGTGACAAGGAAACATTTATTGCAGCCGCTCATAAATTGGGACTTAAGTACTACCAAGTGCAAGAGTTTACCAGAGAATTTGGTCCTATGCATGCCACATCAGGAAAACGTGAATTTTACGGAATGGGTCAATACGATCCTATGATCGATTACCTTCAGTACAATGGCATTAGTGGGAATGCACAAAAAGAGAAAAAGAGCTATTTTAACGATGCTAAGTTCGTACCAGCTAAAAATGCAGGTGATAATAAGATGGATAATTATAAATACCATTTGTTTAAATCATCACAATTGTTCTTCTTGCATGCCAACTGGCCAAAATTGTACCCGGACGATTTATTCATTAGAAGAAAGGAAAACAGAGTTCCATTCCTTAACGATCTAAGAAGAAGATTGTATAATCACGATTTGGTAAAAGAATTGAGAGGATACGATTTTGAAGCGGTCATTTTCAAAAACTTACATTGGTTGGTGTGTGATTTGAAGATTGAAGAAAATGGTTTGTCTGAATGGGGATCGGAAGACCGTAAGAAGATTTGTGAAGAGTTAGAAGTGGAAAACAAATTTTTAGCAAAAGACAATGGATATATGTAGTGGGAGAATAAAGCAAGCATTCATTTCAATTCTACACCTTCAATTGTCATAGGGACGTTATTATTAAAAAAAATTTATAGAATCAAAACACCATTAAGTAACTTTTATAATCGTGTAAGAAGGAAAGTATAATTGACCTCGTTTTTAAAAAGTAGCTGAGGTTGATAATGTAGGCGTCTATAATTTGTTTTCTTGTCTAGCAATAACAGTCTTAAAGGAGTTTAACTCTTCAAGTGTGGTGCAGCTTCCACCACATACCACTATAACGACGATGTCGTCTTTACTTAAGCCAGTTAAGTTTTTTTCAAGTAAATGCAATTGGTCGTATACAACTGATAATGCTGCTCCGCAAGCAGGTTCAACGACTACTCCTGTTTGGTTATAAAATTGAACCAATGGTTTAATAGACTCTAAGTCATCTATAGACTCTAAGTATGTGTGTATGTTGGAATCATTTTGAAAGTTGTCTAAACTCTTAGGTGAGAGGTATGAGCAAGCTAACGATGTTGCAATTGAACTCACTGAGTCTAATGTGAATATCTCTCCCCTTCTGATTGTTTCCTTCATAGTGGGCGCTTGGTTCGTTTCAATTAGAAGGAGATCAGTGTTCTTAGTTTTGCATTGTTGCAACCCTTTGAATAAACCGTTGTATAAACCTCCTCCCCCAACAGAGCACACTACGGACCTCAATTTGTTGAATTCATTAGCATCTAGCTGAGTCGAGAGTTCAGTTATCAAGGAAGCATGTCCTTCCCAAATTAATGGATTATCGAATGGATGACAGTAAATGATGTGCTTATCTTGATATTCAGCCATCAACACATTCTTTAAATATGTATCAGCTTCGTTGATATTAGAGCCTATAATGACGGTCTTTGCCCCGTACTGTTTTAGCTTTGCAGAAATTTGTGCTTTGGCACTGGTAGGTAACACAACAATACATGATACGTTATAAAACTCAGAAGCATAAGCAGCAGCCAAACCGGCGTTCCCTCCAGAGCTAGCAAGAACTAACATGCTATTCTTGCTTATACCTTGACTCTCAGCCTTTGCAATAGATCTGCCAATTAAATTTCCTATTCCCCTGAGCTTGAAGCTTCCAGATGGTTGTTCGTACTCATTCTTGAAGAATACTCTACAAGGAGGTCTCCTGGGAAGAGAGTCGGTAACCTCAGTTAAAGTGGTCTTGGTAAATGGCTGCGAAAATGAGCTTGGTTGCACTTGTTCAATGGTCTCCATTGTATTGCAGTAAGTATTCCTGTTAAGTTTTACTTTTCAAAGAAATTGAATATTGCCTCGAAGGTGGAATGTGATGGAATTGCCTACAAATCGATTAGTTATATATGAAATGCTACTGGCACTAATTTCAGAGTACACTCCTAGAGAGCGATGCCTTGTTAGACTTTCCACCTTTTTTGTATGTGCTGCATTTGTGGCTCTACCCCTTGACTCGTAACCTTTTGCTATGCGCCGATGGGAATCCGCATAATGACTCTGAGGATGGTTATGGCCCATATTCTAGGAGCAGGTCAGAATAACGGCTTCTTGTGCCGCAAGACAGGGAGGAGTAGATGTGGTTTTGACTTCGTTGCTGTGACTTCGTTACCTGAGTCTTGTGTAAATCTGACTCGCACTGAAAAAAGAAAAGCAAAAAGAAAAGCGCCGTTTCACCAGTACTAAAGAAGTAAAGAGTTCCTCACACAGAGAATACTGGGGTGTACGGTTTAATATATAAGTATCTATTTAGAACGCAGTAGATATACTAGCAGCGATTATGAAATTTTGGAAGAAGTGCCTCTATATAGGGGATTTTGGGTGGAGAGCCAGTCTATCTGCTACCTAAAATAGAGTGATTGCATGTTATCTTATTTTCTTCAATGGATCATGGATACTTCTTTCTTTTTGTATCCAACCTCTATGCTGCTGCCCCAGTAACGCCCGAAATAAGCCTTTGATGTGCAGTTTTTCTATGTACTCTTTGTTGCAAGCACCTTTGCTATTTGACGTCAGCGTTCTTCGCTGGCCACGGTTGAATGACTATCCTCAACGCTTTCTTTGACAGCATTTCCCCATTGGGCTCGGACTTGCCCCGAATTATGCCGAAAAGAGCAATGACTTGAAATGAAAATACGTCCGGCATACAGGCGCATCATCGTGGGGCCATGTTGCAATAGCTTAAATTAAACCTTTAGCTTTTCATTTAATTTACTTATGGATGCACTACTGGCTAGTTATTAGAGTAGGTTCATTATTCTCGTTATAGCTAGGTGAGTAATGCTGTCACCGATCTTCATTTCAAATCCCTCCCCAGGTTTGTCCTTTCTTGGGATAGTGCGGGGCTTCCAGCTAGCTATAGTTGGAGTTGTACAAGGTATACAAAAACCTAGATTTAGCTTTTTCAGTAGTAATGACAGTTTTCGTAGATTTATAGTAGACTTTGTTATAATAGAGCTTATAATAGCTATACCAACCATTTCGCTTTCGTTCACTGTGAATTTTATCTCCCTATTCACTTTTAAAGACTACTCCAACATGTACAAGAGTATTGAGTATGTGATGTATGATGTGATTAACATTAACTTTATTCTTCTAAGCATGATGTCTGTGCTCCGGTCCGTCAAGCGAGATGAAAAGTTCTTCTATGATAGTTTGAACTATTTTGATGAATCTTTTTGTCAAAGCCTACTTGAGATAGAGCAATGGAAGAAGCTGTCAGCTGTCAACGAGGTACCAATATACAGCCCTACATATGTAAAGTTCCGTCCATTTGAATATATTATTGCAAAGCTCGAAGAGTTAGGTTTGATAGAAGCTAACAATCAAAACTTACAGGCGGTCCAAATATATACAAAGTTAATTATCAACAACATTATTATGGGAATTTTGTTTAGCTTCCCAAGATTTGGACATGTAATATCATTGATTGTCATGTTGCAGAATTTGCTTAATGTGGTGAGCTTTACATCTTCGCTATTAATAACCTTGGCTCTTTACAACGCATCGCCTGAGTACACTATATTCCTAATTGTATTGTTTAACGAGACATCAGCAATGATGCATGTCCTAATTGTCAATCCATTCTTCAATACGATGTCTCAGTTTACGAGTCATGAGAGGAACCAATGGATCAAGTCCAGAGAAGGAGTTTTATTCGGGTGGTCATTATTTTTCACTATAGTAAGTAAATACGCTCCCAGGTGCACTTTCTTCTGTGTCTTTGCTTCGAAGATTAGTCTTGCGTACCTTGTAACAAAAGTAAGTGGTACACCACCGCAAGGAAAGAACCTCATGAATTGGACTTCGTCTCAAATTGTCTGGAACAAAGAGGCCCAAAATCATGTCCTCAATGGAGACTTTGTGAATGATTTCCAATTCTATAAGTTCAAGTTCTAAAAAGCGAACTGCAAGGGCAATATTATGGTGGAAGGAATTTGAAGAGCTCGCAGAAACTACAAAATAGAGAAATGGGATAGAAATAGAAATAAAAGTAGAAATAAAATAGAAAGACATTAAACATTATATATTATATATTACAGCTTGATTGAGAGTAGTCTGCGTTCTACTTCTTTTTAAAGGTTCTGTTACCAGTATAGATACAGAAATCAAAGTATTTTAAAATATCTTTCAACAACCAGCTCTCATCACCGAACAGATCAATTATGTAGTCAAAACCTCCTAGTTCACTAGTCTTGTGGTTCAATTGCAACATTGGGAATAATGTCAAGTTACATCTTTTCCATTTGTGGTTTGTCAAGGATGTTATCTCTTCTCTTGAGTTTCCTCCAGCTTGAAATGATTCAGTAAGAAACTGAGTTTTGATTGAAATTGTGGCAGAATCATCCACTTCCATTTGAACCTTCGTATTAGTAAGACCTTCATAGCTTTGTTTAAGAAAGCTATTATAAGGATCATCATTATCTCCTATCGATATAGCATGCAAGATATCTCCTAACCTATTGAATATAATATCTATTATACCTCTGATGTCTTCTTCAAAGGTTTGAATTTGCACATCCAAGCTTTCATTGTTAAACTTGGAATGTAAAACTTTCAATGATTTTAAAAAGATCGTCAAGAGGTTATATTTGAGTTGTAGCCTAAAAATATTTTGATCGTTTATAAAGTTGTCCCATACCAAGCTTTCAAGGTCAGAAGTTTTTGATATTGGCTTCAAACTAAAATCAGTCTTAAAATCAAACTGCTCCAATAACTGTACAATTTCCTCATTGAATTTTAGAACGTTCAGTACATCAATCTGTTTCACTTGCGGTATTCTATCAAAGTTGTTGAACAAAAACAGGTTTACCCAACTTAGTACTGAAGTATATGAATTGAAGTTTGAAAATGAGAAATCAAACGGCGATGCAACAGTGGTGTCATTGAAATTGGATACTGGAATAAAATCAATTTGATAGTCAACCTTTGATAGAATGGTGTAGTTTATCACATTCTTGGGAACTATTCGACTTACTAAAGCTATGACTTGGCCATTCAGTTTGGTACCATAGTTAATGTAATTTCCTTCAACTATTTCATTAAGATAATTGTAATTATTCTTGCTCTCGCTAATACTGGCAGAATTAGACAACTGGTATTTATACAATTGCTGCTTCACAAGCTTTTCCAATGGAGAAGTTTTGCTATTAATTTGCTTTTTGATGGACTCATCAACTGTGTCGAAGAGGACCTGTTCGAATTTCCCGTTTTCAAACGACAAATTTATTGCCAAAGTAGAGTTTGAACCCACCAGTACAATAATACCAGTCATAAATTGATTTTTGCTGGTAAGCAGATGATTGTATGCAACAAGGGAGTTCGTCCTAGTGACATATACTTGGAAATTTGTTGTGTCTCCAATAAAGAGATAATTACCATCATCTGTCCACTGGGTTCTAGAAACTAGAAACCTGGACTTTCGTCTAATTTGGTTCCTGCTGGTGACACTCAAAGCTCCACTTTTTCTCTGTACTGTGATCAATATTATCGAATTAGACGAAGTGGTAACACTTATACGTGATGTGTTACCTTGCCATGATGACCACGATAATTTTACAATGCACTCTTCGTCGATACCTAGCTCTTCTTCTTCGAAGATGGGAGTTGATACTACGTTCCTTAATTCCGTGTCAAAGATAGATATGGTATTATTAGCCAAAGCCAAACTCAAGTATCCACTTTCGTCATATTCAAACAGGGTCACTTTCAACGATAACAACTGAGATTTAGTAATTTTAATTTCTCCCTTATCTGTGAAATGGTCTGAGGTGAGCCTTAGGTTCTGAAGGAGTATCTCAAAGAAGTTGTGCTTTATTGTATAATAGTCGGACTTAACAGTTGCCCTTTCCAATACAAGCAACTCAGATGTGTTCAATAATATGGTAATATTTGCATTTTTAGTGTATGGCAGTGGTGTAGTCCACTTATGGCTCACAATTAATGGATCTGCAAATTTACCAAAGTGTAGCGGCTCGTCATAAGTAGTGACTTCAATGTTCAAGAATTTTCTTAATTCCCAGCTAGAAATCACTTCAGCATGAATGACGTTTTTGACATCGAACAAAGATTTTGAATCCAAAACAGAAAATGGTGTTTTAGGGTTAGGGATTATACTCTGATGAATAGATGGTAAAATCGGTTCCAAGATCGTTAACGATTGGGAATTGTTAATTGCCAATTGCAGATTAGCAGACCATTGGACGGGGTCGCACACAGCAGGAGCAACATTCGCCCTCAGTACAGTTATTCCTCTTATCATATCAAGCTCGATTTCCCACTTAATACCTACTAACTATGAAGTTCTGTTTACCTTTCTTCTTCTCCAGAAATGTTTATTATGATTTTTTCTGGTACATGCATAATCTCGTTTCGCATGGTTCTGTGAAAAATCGAGATACGCATAAGTGAAGAATGCATCTCTCTTCCCTCTAAGGAGTATCGGGTTGTAGATAAGTATATGTAGACGTAGGCAAATATATGGAGACAGTATGAAGAATCGGCTATTGAACGATTCAGAACATTTTGGACACCCATACGTGCCATATAAGATACAAATCGAGCTTATGAAAGAGATATACTCTTGTATTGAGAATGGATGCAAAATAGGAATATTCGAGAGTCCCACAGGGACAGGTAAAACACTTTCGCTAATTTGCTCAACCATGACTTGGCTCAGGGACTTTAAGAAAGAGTCAATTATTCAGGAAACAAAGAGGAACGACGACGATGACGAAGATAACGTGTCGGATGATGAGCCAGATTGGGTCAAGGCTGCTTATGCGGACTCTATTTTGAAAAGGTCTTCCTCCTTGGCTAAGGACTATGAACTACACTTGGATTCTATAGAAAGCCAAACTAAGAATAGAATACAGAAAATCCACACACTAAAAGATCAAGAGAAAAAGCGCTTCAAAAAGTCGTCTGTCGTACTAAAAGAGAGTGAACCTGGCGAGCTAGATTCCTCCTTCGTACCAGATGACTACTACAGTGACTCCGAAATAAGCTCTAATAAAAATATCAATGACCAGATGTCATCGCAGGTGAAACAATTGCTTACAAAGGTTAATGGTCCTAAGGAAACAGTAGAGCTCGTTAATACATGCCCGACCACTATATACTACTCATCACGTACCCATTCACAATTGAATCAATTTGCACAACAGTTGAAATTGACTTCATTTGAGTCTTCCTTTGTTAATGTGGCTGAAAGAACTAAGTTCTTGCCATTGGCTTCAAGGAAGCAACTTTGCATCAATCCTAAAGTTTCAAAACTTAAAGATTTAACGAGTATAAATGATGCATGTATGGATCTACAAAAGAGCGACAGTACTTCCTGCGAGTTCATTCCCAAGGCAGGGCATCCTCTATCCGAAGAGCTCACAAAAGAATTTGTAGATACCTCTTTCACGTCTATCCACGACATAGAAGACTTGGTTGCAATTGGTTCTTCATTAAAGATTTGTCCTTACTACTCAGTACGGAAAGGTGTCGAATTAAGTGAGATCATTGCCTTGCCCTATCAAATGATACTCCAGGATTCAACAAGACGGTCTTTAAATTTAAACATTGATAATGCGATTGTAATAATAGATGAGGCCCATAACCTTTTCGATGTCATAACTTCCATATATTCAGTGAATTTATTGGAATCAGATATAATATTAGTTATAAACTCATTGAAGGCATACTTGAAGAAGTTTTCTCCAAGACTAAACAGTGGTAATAGAATAAATCTTATGAAATTAATCAAGTTGTGTCTGGTGTTGAAAAGTTTCATGGAAAAAGCTAAGTCTACCGAAATAGTTCCTGGTAAGGAAATATTCATTGACGAAATCTTCAAAGGAACCACTGGAGATACGGTTAATGTTCATAATATTGAAAAGTTCTTGACGAAGAGCAAAATTGCATACAAAGTACAAGGTTGGATTGACAAACAACAAGAATTGTCATTGTCACCAAATCTGGCCCCATCGTCTTCATCATCACCACTTCTTTTTAAGATCACCTCATTTCTTAAATCCTTAGCTAACCCATCCAAAGAAGGTAAGTTCTTTTGGGATAAACCGACCAAATCAACTATTTCCATAAACTATATGTTGCTTGATCCTAGCTCTATTTTCAAAGATATTGTAACTAGAGCAAAATGTGTAATACTATGTGGAGGGACAATGGAACCGATGTCAGATTACACCAACTATCTTTTCCCATACATATCAAAAGAACTTATCAGAAACTTCTCTTGCAAACACGTTATTCCTGACTCAAACTTGCATGTCTTTCCACTAGGTACCTTTAGAAATCAAGAGTTCAACTTTCAGTTCGGCACAAGAAACAACCCTACAATGATCGAAAATTTGGGTCTTTGTATTTTGAGAATATGCCAAGCAGTACCTCATGGTGTGGTGGTATTCTTTCCATCTTATAAGTATTTGGAAGAGGTGCTAGAGCAGTGGAAGGGGAAGACCTTGCTATACGAAAAGTTGTCAAGCATCAAGACAATTTTAACAGAACCTCAGAACTCATCTGATGTCGATTCAGTGCTTACAAAGTATTCAAAAGCAATATATACTGAAAACAGAGGCTCAATATTGTTATCAGTTGTTGGAGGAAAATTATCGGAAGGTATAAACTTTTCTGATGAATTGGCTAGAGCTGTTGTTATGGTTGGACTACCTTTCCCCAACGCATACTCTGGAGAAATGGTTGCGAGAATGAAATACATTGAAGCAGACACTATAAGCAAAGGAGGAACTCCTGCAATGGGACGTGAAGCAACTAGACAGTTTTATGAGAACATTTGTATGAGAGCTGTCAACCAAAGTATCGGAAGGAGTATTAGGCATATTAATGATTATTCTATACTTTATTTAATTGACGGTAGGTATGGGAATCCTGGCATCCAAAAGAAACTAAGCGGTTGGGTCAAAGAACAATTACCCCAGCAGGTGCCTAATCAAGGAGGTTGCATTGATTTCGAATCTGCAATGCAACTCACTACAGAATTCTTCGAAGTTCATGGCGATAAACAAGTAGAGATTCGAAAACTCTAGACATATAAAATTTTAATTTATTTATTCATAGCATACATTAAAAGACAACATCACTTCTAAGAACCCATTTCTCTCCTCTTTTTACTATTTCAGCTTCATGCTTTAGACAGTCGTAGCCGTGCTTATGCAATAGAGCCATTCCTTTGCTCGGATGTATGTTTAATGGCTTGACTCCTCTAATCTCAGGGTGGAATATGGTCCCACCACCTTCAAATTCTTCATCACCTGTGAGGTATATGAGTAAAGTCCATTTTGTTTTACCTTTCTTAGAACTTCTTTCATCAAGGGGGGCAACCACTGCTTCATCGTAGTGTTTTCCGAAGTGATGACCTTTTCTATATCTGTAAATTCTAAGTTGTGGGTTCAAAAAGACAGCGCTGGAAAACGTTTCCTTGATCTTGTCTAAATCCTCATCGGCATATTCAACGTGTTGCGAAAGTATTTGATTCAAGTAGGACCACAAAGCCCTCGTCGCTTCAAAATCTGTCGTAAGACATCTGTCATTATATCTAGCAGCATATTCTTTACTCTTAACTAGTGGTGTGGTCTCCAACTTAATTGCAGACGAGTTTTCAATAGACTTGATCAAGTCATTACATACGTCTTGAGGGAAGAAATTATCAATGGTAATTATTTGATCTTCTACTACAGTTTCTGCCTGCGGTTTATAAAACTGTTTAGGGAACTTCGAAGGTAGAGCATAGAATGAAGATGGAAACTGATAACTCATAGCTTATACTTCCCTTAAGCACTATCAAAATAATGGTGTATCGACAGTAGCAATTGAAATTAAAATCATATCGCACTGAAAAGTTCGGACACTTTGAAATGTGGGGAGGACCATCATTTGAATAGTAGAATTTTATATAGAGACATTTACATAAAATGTTACATAGCTGGAGATATTCTAATGGTGATTGCCATTCTAAGCAATCGTTCGTCTTTTTAATTTATTTCTGACTTTATTTAGGCTATAAATGTGAAATTAATTTGCGTTGACTTTCAAATCATCCAAGTCTTCAATAGTTTTAAATATGCAAATAACTTAGATGATCCTACCATACCAAAACATAAATCTCTATAGTAGTAAAATGTTCCTGTGATAACAATATAGCATGCTAAATATATAATCCATTGTATAGGTCTTGGTAGTTTTCCTACTGAAATCTCCAATATGTATCCTGATACGAATATAGCAAAGTATTGCGCCGGGACGTAATGATGAATGTAAGTTACTCTTCCCATGACTATATAAGGGATGTAATTGAGAAACCACGCAAAGAAAGGTAAGAGTCCTTTAACTAAGTACTTGTTCCATACAGGATCAAACGGACCTTCGTTTCCGAAAGGATAAGTAACCACTTGACGTTGCCATAAGATGGCCAGAACAAAGGTAATCACAACGAAACAAGCAATACTAAAAGTACTCGTCCAAGTTACAGCTGGATTACCTATAAGGAAATATTTGACTTCTGCAACACTCCACGTACCCATTCTCAAGCCAACTATAAGGGTAGGCCATTGCCACCATTCTGAACTCAAAGTATCAAATTTATCCTTGTCTGGCACTAAAGCGTTATTTGAAGACATCATAGCGTAATTTAAAATTATGAATTCCTTCCAAAACTTCGCAGGTGGTGAAACATAGCCCTTCAGTGGAGGACTCAATTGATTGTTAATGTGATCTTCGACGTTCCACCATGTAGTTTTATCGTTAGCTACCAAGGTATATTTACAAACTACTTCACCCTGTCCAAATCCCCACTTAGGTAAAACGTAGCCAGTGGTTCCCAAATAGCAGCCTAATTCCTTATGCTTTAATCTGAAGTTAGTTGAAATCGGATGGATTTCTTGCAAAGATTCATTGTGAAAGAATGGATCTGGCGAAGTAAGCTGTTCTTGTATTTCAATGACCCATTCATCGGCATAATTGGAATTTTCAAGGCTTGAATAACATGATACCTCAAAAGTGGATTTTGTAATATATGAAGTGATTCTGTGAGAGTGAAGTAAGTTGTCAGTTTCTTTATGTATCAATCTAACCGTATCACCGTCGTGCACCAATTGCTTCCAGTGGCTAGTATCCTCACCTTCTTCTGGTAGAACTGTAGCGAGCTTCCCTGCATCAAGGCCAAATTCAATTAAAAATTCGTTGTTGTTATCTTTGTATCCGTAAATAGTAACTTGTTGTTGTCCTGAGCCTTCAGGGTAGCCTGATTCATGACTATGAAGCAAATTGGGCGACAACCCGTGGGATCTCAAAGTCACCAAGGATCCAAATGCAACAGACCTGGGTCCATTTTGAAGTGTATTATCTTCAAATTGACCTTGTAGTAACGAAGATACCCCACCGTCACCAGTACCGCTTCTTTTTAACAACTTAAAGTGAATCTTGAAACATAACAAATAAATCAAGAAAGGAATGATTATTAAGGTGCAAATTCTTGAGATCCAATGACTTATATATGTCTTTACAGAAATTTTGTTAGCATCACCCAGCTCAAGAGTAAAAGTTTGGCAATGCTTGAGATACAAATCATATATAGTGAAGAGACCAACTAAAGCAGTGATGAAAAGCCCAACCCATTTCACTGAGCACACACAACCAATGGACACCCCAGTAACCGAGAGCCAGACCCAGCCTTCTAACAGGAGAAGCTTGTTTTGCGCTCTCAATTGTTGAAATTTGACTAAACAATAGAATGTTGTAACCGTGAAGAGGAGCAACATCGAGTCCAATAATATAAACTTAGATAAGGTAAGCGAAAACATTTCGAAAACTACCAGTAAACTGATGAGCCAAACTGTCAATGGCTCAAATCCGCAGAGAATGGCGGTATGGTATGCCACAGGAGCACATAAGACTCCAAAGGCGGCGTTGAAGCTTCTCATGAACACGTAATTACAATCGTCGGGGTATTTTGTTCCACTATCGAAACCGAAATCTCCATTATATCCTGCGAGCCAACCTGACAATGCTACAAGAAGTTTACCCAATGGTGGGTGAACATCAAAATAATATTCACCTTTTATGTAGTGAGATCCAAACTTTCCAAAATGTGCTTCATCCCAGAGAACTTTGCTAGATGCACCTATTTTATGGAATCTCAAGTACCCTGATAAGACGGTTAAGAAAATTGTAGATAATATGTTTACTGTTCGACTTGGATTTTTACTTTGTGGGGTCTCATTCTGTTCATCTAACTGAAGAGAAGACGTCTTCGTAATAATGTCCTGTAAGTCATGTTCATCCTTGAATGCCCCAATTTTTGACGTCCTATGCTTCAAGCCGTCATGCGAACTGTACGTGGAAGCACCCGTCGACATAATATCTTGAACTCTTTATACGGATTGGATGGTGAAAAAGATGGAGTACTGCTACAACAGAACTTAGTTACACGTACCAGTCGGTATGCTGCATGCGTGCTTTGGCACGTGACTGAAATATTGAACACTCGGAAGAAAAACTTTAAATCACGTTAAGCATGTGCGTCTCAGAGGAAATCGAGCATTAGTGCACGTGATGTAAAAGGCTCGTAAATCAGACTCGAAGGCAGGTGCTTGAATCTCAGAAGCGAGAGTCACGTGATAATATCTCAGCTCGCAGGCACCATAGAGGGGCTCAGAGATCAACAGAACGCCCTAGAGAGCTAGCGGTGAAGAAAGAGAGAGTGAGAGAAATAAATACCTATGATATCAATACTGGAGTCACCTATGCCACTAGTGCTGGAGTTTTATTGGTCTCCTCCTTTCATATTAGCATGGCTGCTATTGCCTGACTCCGTCTATTATCCGTCTCTTATCATGCCAAAAACCAACTGATTTCATTCAAGGTGCCGGAATAATGTAAGCAATACCACGACACTCATCGAAACAAACATTCTCTCCTGTATATGCTAATATTTTCCTGCCAAAATAAAGATGGAATCCTCGCGCTCAGCCCTGCGCGCTTTATAACCGAAGACATGGGTCTAAGAACATTAGAAGCGGAAACAAGATAGTGTGAATTTTAGTGGCTAGTGCAGTATTCTCAGGGCATATTCCTGCTTTTGGGTCTGTTTGTTCTTTTTCTCAACCAGCGATGTAATACAGAAAATTGGCCAATTGTTAATGGAATGTTAGGGTAAAATACACAGAGTATAACAATTCCCTCCCAATTCGTTCTAAACATTCGCCCCCAGGGTGGAAGTGGTGCTAGTGTCGTCGGACTGAACGGGTACCTCGATTTCAGTGTCAAACTATCCTCAAAAAAGAAAGGAAATAGTGGATTATAAACAATGAAAAATGAAAAAAAAAAAAAAAAAAAAAAAAAAAAAAAAATAATACAACAAATGGCTTCACAAGGTGCTTCTGTATTTGGTATGGGGAAATAAAAGTCAAAATGCCGCAAAAAAAAAACAATGTGAATCAACTGGTAA